CGGCCAATTTGACCAGTCCTGAAGCGTCCAAGCCACTGTGTCGAGATCAAGTACCACCGCTCCCTGATGCTGCATCCTCACACCCCATTCTCCCTCCCACTGTTCTCCACCCCTTCCTTCTCCTACCCCAATCCCTCCAACCAACCAGAGATCGACGACGGCTCCGGTGTCTCGTTTGCGTACAGCAAGGTGTTTGAGGAGCCAATCACCATTCACTACGAGGACGGCACTCTCTCGCTCGATGACTCCTCCTCCTCTTCCTCTCCCACCTCGTCTGCGTCTCTTCTCACTGTGCTGCCTGCACGAGCAGGAGCCGAGGTTGCTGGTGAGCCCCGCATCCCAGTATGCCATGCTGCATGCCATCATGCCATCCTGCATGCCAATACCATGTTGCCTGCTATGTGACGTGCCATGCTTCACGCCATACTGCATGCCACTCTGCATACTTGCTTTCCCTCGCGGTTCCTCTTTTTCACCCTCATCATCCCTTCCTCCTGCATTCTCCCTCTACCCTCCCCTACTGCATCTGTTCCTCTTCATCATCCCTCCCGTGCGTGCGACGCATTCCCAGGTGTTGCGAACGCCACGGACAGCAGCACTCTCTCGAGCACTGCACGCCTCACTGCCACCAACACCATCACGACCCCTTCCTCCTCCTCCTCCGCTGCCTCAGAAGTGTACGAGTGCTCGCCGGGGTGTCGGCTGCAGCGGCTGGCGAACGGGGTGTGCGATGCGGCGTGCAACACGCCCGCGTGCGCCTTTGACGGTGGCGACTGCGCGTGTGTCGACCCGCTCTTTGGCCCCGGCATCTGCCCCTGCCCCCCCGGCCACACCCGCCGCGACGACGGCTGTCAGTCATCCCTCTTCCTCCTCCAACCGCCCCTCTTGCTCAATGCCTTAATCCACCATCCCCGCCTCACTCCTACTCGCTTTCTGACTTATGTTTCCTTTCAGTGCCTCCTTGCCCTTCCGTTGGTGCTCTCTCTTCCTCATACCCGTCCCTTTCCTCCCTTCCCCCATCCCTCCAACCCTTCTCCAGCGTGTTGCCCGTCCACGGCGGTGGGCACGAATCTCAACTTCCCCTTCTCACTGCAGCGCTACGGCCCCAACTACACGGAGAGCAACTACGCCTTTGCGGCTGAGAGGGGCTTCGCTGCCAACCGCTTTGTGTCTCACCGCAACCGGTATGCCCCTGCGCTTCCCCAATTCCAAACACAGCATTCATCTGGTCGCGTGCTCTTCTTAAAAGGACTTTTACACTGTCTTGTACCACTAAGAGAGGCACCACTATCAACTGTCCATATCGTGCATTGCAACCGGAAGGCACCATGCTGCACCGCTCAGCACCATTTGTTCGATCAGCTTCCGTTCACTCATTTGAGCCTCTGCTCTGCTCACCACCACAATCAGCTTTTAAACCCTCACTTTCATTCCCCCCTTCCCCCTTTCCCCGTACTTCTCCAAAACAGTCTGCTGATCGGCTTGGTACTGCAGCAGGATCGGTGGGGCACGCAGCAGTGCAGCGGACCGGGGTGAGTGCCTCTGGTCAATGGGGTGAGTGGTGGGGTGTGAAGTGCCGGGCTTTCATGATGCTTGGCTGATCCTGTCGCTGCAAGTGTAGCCACCCGTGGCTCTTCGCATCATCCTTCCTCACACACCCTCACTTTCACCCCCCACCAACTCTGCTTCAGCCCTCCCCTCTCTTTCCTTCCCTCCCCAGGCTGCTGCACCTGGCGGGGTGGTGCAGCAACGGCACGTCCACGGAGCCGTTTGGAGTGAACCCGCACTTCCTGCCCACATCGGCCATCTACGACAGCGCTGCCAGCGCCAACATGAGCCAGCTCGATGACAACACCTTCGGCTTTAAGCTGCAGTTCAACCCTCAGGGCCTCCCATATGGCTTCATCTACCCCACGGTCAGTCATGGCCCCTTCACTTCCATCTGATGCAATGATAAAATATTCTATGGGATGGAAGCTCTCAAATACAAGCTAGAATGGATGGGAAATGTTTTGATTTTGGGTGGGTACAACCTCGCATGGTGGCCTGGATTCTGTGTGGCACCATCCCTCGAAACCATGTTAGCACTGAACTCTGAGCCATATCATCACCTTCTTTTCAACTTGTTGATGCTGAATTCCTCTCTGTACCCTCCCTTTGATTTTTCTACAGGACGCCCTAACAGCCTACCCCTTGGTGTTTGACATCAATCTTGACTACGAGGCAGCCATGCGTCGCCTCCAATACCTGGTGGATGGAGGCTTTATCGACAATGGCACTCGCACTGTAGACGTCAGCTTCATCACTTTCAACGGTACTTCATTCTCATAGTCTTTTATCAATAAAGGCAAATCTTACGTGTACCATAAATGTTATTCGTGCCAGCTGCATTTACATTTTCTCTCTTTCAATGGCCTTCACTGCTCTGTCCCATCCCGTTCTCTCCGCGTCTCATGCATACATCACGTTCGCCCCGCGTTGGCAGGCGAGACGCTCACATTCGTGCTGACAACGGTGAGTTGCAAAGTGACCACGGGTGGCAGCATGGCAGTCACGTTCAAGTCCCAGCCGGCAGCCATGGCGATGTACGATGCATCGGCGGACAACATCGCACGGCTGGTGCTGGAGGTGATCTACCTGGTGGGGCTGCTCTGGAATGTGTGTGGCGAGCTGCAGGAGATGGCCGATCGCGCCCCTATCGACCGCTCTATCCTCAGCTACTTCGGCCTCGTGTGGAACTGGGTCGACATGCTCTCCCTTGCGCTGCAAGTGACGGCAGTTGTTATCTGGTAAGAGAACAGCCAAGTTGTGTGAGTGGCGGCCTTTGCCGTACAATCCATTCTCTGTTCGTACAATCCATCCATCCTTTGTTCGTATCTCATCTGGCACCACGCCTATGGCTCCTTCCTCACTGCACATCCACCACGTTTATCGGCGCATCCGCCTCACTCCACACACCCACATTCTCTCACTTTCCTCGACATGGGTGCCTGTGTCGGTGTGTGCAGGGTGGTGCTATGGCGGTACGTGGAGGCGTTTGACATGCAGCCACGGTACGACATCTACTACACGCTGCTCGAGATGCCGCATTACTGGGCCGTGCCCAACCCGCCCACGGGATTTTTCAGCGCCACTCAAGCCTTTGCCGACCTGCGCAACATCATCCAACTCCGAGGAATCTACTTCGCCCTCCAGGGCATCAAGTGAGCCGCCTGACCCTCAACATAAAAGTTCTATAGTTGTACATTTATGTATATGTGTATAATGTAACTTTGTGTACATAATTATGTGTATATGTACACAAAAAGACATATATACATACATATAAATACGTATAGCGTGCGTGCGTGCCTGCGTGCTTGCGTCAATTCTCTTTTTGTTGAGTAACAAGCAAGTTAACCTTCTTACTCGGCTCGTTTGCTCATGTCTAGCTGTCACCATCAATTGATGCTCCATCTCCAGTGACCAATCAACCACACTCTCTCTTCTCGGCCCCCTAATTCTCTTCGTTCCTCCCTGTTCCCCTCCCCAGTGTCTTCTTCATGATGATTCGCCTGCTCAAGGTCATGGACTTCCAGCCGTACCTTGGGGTCATCACGCGCTCGCTCGGCCTCGCCACACCTTCTCTGCTGCACTTCTTCCTGCTCTCCTTTACGGTCTTCTTCTGCTTCAGCATGTACGCCTACCTCGTCTTCGGAGGCGCTCTTGAGATGGTAAGTGTGGGGCTCATGTGCTTTGTATCTTCACTTGTAGCTTGAATGTGTCACCTTTTTCGCCTGAGCAAGCCGTTGTGTTCAAGTTTTCCACGCCTCCCCTATTTTCCAACCGTGCGTTTTCTTTCATCTTTTAATTTTACACATTTCCTCTCCCGCCTCCCCAACACCCTCTGCAGTTCTCCTCAGTGCTGGAGTCCATGTTCTCGTGCTTCCTCCTTCTGCTCAACGACAACGGCTCGGCCTACTTCTTGCAGCGCCTGGAGTTGTGGGACCTGATAGCGGCGATGCTATTCTTTCTCATGTTCATTGTCTTCATGGTCTTCATCCTCCTCAACTTCCTCATCGCCATCATCGTCGATGCCTTCATGAGCATCAAGGACAGCCACATCGTCGCCACCTCTATAGCCGCTGACCTCGCTCACATCATCAAGTACAAGTGGAACTGCTGGCGCGGCCGCTATCTACCGTATCCCTACATTCTCAACCGCCTCGTGCAGCTGGGCGCAAAGGACACCCGAGTGGATGAGGTGAGAGTTTGATACCTGGGTCACCTTCGTGGACAAGGTTAGAGGCCGAATAAATGCTTGATTGTGAACTTCAACCAGATTTTCCAAATAGCATTTGGAGTCCCAATTGGGAGCTCTTTCCCAAGGGCTGTTACAGGTTCCAATGGGATTTCCTTCCCACTCTTTTGATAATGTTGATCATCAATTTCTTGTTTCGCAGTTGTCACTCGTAAAATGCATGCTCTCAGTTGTTGAAACGGGCATTGCTGCTGGCTTCTTTCACAACCTAATCCTCCCATCTCTTCACCTCTCGTCACATCATACGCGTTGCAGTCGGACCGTCGGATGCGGCGCATGCAGTCAATGAAGCGGCGAGTGCGGGCCATCTTCTCCTGCACCTGCGGCGGCGGCTGCAAGCCGTCTCACCTCGGGGGTTGCGGGGAGAGCCACCCTGCCTTCCTGTCCGCCACCAACGAGCATCGCGTGCGGAAGCAGCACGTGCTGACTGTGAGGGACAAGCGCATCGATGCCATCTCGCTCTCCATGATCCTGCAGCGCCGCCAGGACAGAGCGGTGCGTCGTTGCTGGCGTGGCTGTCGGAACGAGTACTCTGGCATGTCATGTGTTGTGGCAGGCCATGCGGTTGGCGATCCATGTATTGTGATTTACATGTCAAGTAACTGTGATATAGTTACCTCTAAGCTTGACTTCTCATATTTATTTGCCCCTGCATGCCCCTCTCTCCACCGCCCCCCTATGTTTCACACCTGTTCTCCAGCAAGGTGGGCCCTGCAAGGCTGAGCCGCCGTACAAGTGTTGGCCAAAGTCAGGGTCAAATGCGGGAGTGGAGGAGGAGGAGCAGCTGGAGCAGCTGTCGCAGGCGGTGGTGCTGCAGTGCGGCGAGGTGGTGAAGCAGGCCGTCCTGCCCGTCAAGAAGAATCAGAAGAAGCTCAGCCTGGTCCATATCAAGGTGGGTAAGGAAAGGGTCGAGAGGAGTGTTGGGAATATGGGTGAGAGGGGGTCTGTGCAGATACAGCAGGGTTGCAGTCATTTGATCCCAATGGCTGATAGTCGAGGTTTCAATTCCCTACCGTGCATTTTTGCGCCTCCTTCACAACATCCCTTGATCCTCCTCCTCCCCTTCCCAACTCAACGCCCCTCCCCTCCCATGTGTGCGTGTGCGCATGAGTGAGGGAGCAGGCGGATTTGGCGCGCAGTGAGGCAAAGGTGGAGCAGCTAAGCGCCATGGTGGCTGACATGCACGCACTCATGCTCGACCTCCTCGCCCGCACGCCCCCCACGGGAAATGCACCCCACGCACCGGGTGCTCCTGCTGTAGGGTTGTCAGCAGCGTCAAGCATGCCGCGAGCCTATACGGAGCCCTCTCGTCTCCCCATGGCCCTCACAGACTCCCCACAGCCCCTGCAGCAAGCAGGAAACAGGAGGGATGTGCCACGAGCGGTCAGCAATGGCAGGGTAGGTGCGGGGGTAGTTGAGGGAGGGAAAGGAGTGGAGGACAGTAGTGCTGGTTTGAGTATAGCAGCAGGGGGCTCGAGCAGAATTCCGGTGCAGGCATCACAACGAGTGTTGGTTAGGCGAGTGTCGTTCCAGGATGCTAGAGAGGCGGGTGGGGAGAGGACAAAGGAGGGTTGGCAGCAGCAGCCCTTGGTGTAAGGTTTGGTTCATTTCATTATGTAAGCATTGATAAGCCTGAGCCTGCCAGTAACCAGTACTAATGGTCTCCCATTGTAATGGGTGCAGTATACTAACACTCTGGGTTGTTTGTAATACTATACAATACTATGTTTTGGATGTTGCATTCAATTGTTTCAACACACAAGCGTACTATTTGCAACTCGTGATTTGTTTCCTGTACAGCTTCCACAAGTGCAGTTCTTGCGAAGAGAATGTAGTGTACGTTTGTCCTGGAGCTGCAGTGGCCTCAAAACTTCTGGCATCTTCTAGCGCGCAGCACATCAGGCCAGGAGGTTTACATCACTGACTGTCTTCTAGGGCGGTTGGCCCAGCCAACTGGAGACAGCGCAGCGCAACCAAGGTCCTGCCGCTTTTGTCGACCAACGCCCAGCCTCCACAGGTCCTCCTTGCCTGCTAGGCTTACAGGATGCAGCGCGCCACACCGTGTAATGGTGCGTTGTGTGGCAGACACTGCATCCCCCAGTATACGAGCGCTGAGAGTGTGCCGTAGGGTGCAACAGCGGAAAACAGTCAAGCACTATTGTTGCTCTCAGCGTTTCGGAGACTTTCAAAGGTCTCTTTGGTTTCTAATCAGCGGCTCTTCCCATGAGTCCTCTGCGCTCGCACCACCCTCACCGCCCTCCTTCGCCTCCTCTTGGAACGCAACCCGCCGCCCCAACCTGCTACTCGCTCTCCCATTTCCATTTGCTCGGACAGGCCCGCCTCTCCCACTCCCTTCTACTCCTGCTCCAGCCCCCACACCCATCCCACCCGTCTCCCTCCCAAGCCCCTCACCCCCCTCCACTTCCATTTGCGGCACCTTCAGACACGGCTGCACCAGCGGTTGCTGTCCCGGCAGGGGTGATACGGAGCGGGGAACGGGAGGGGTCTGGGCGCGCAAGGCAGGTAAGGAGCGGTCGAGCAGAGCCATCATGGCGCGCATGTCGCTCTGCATGTCCGCCATCATGCCCCTCAGCTCCTCCACCCCCGCCTGGCACCGCACCACCTCCTCCTGCTCACCCCATGCACGGCTCATGGGAGGGAGATGTGGCATGAGATACGGATATTTTGGCACTAGCGCCAGTATTTCCCCTCAGATTGTTTAAAATACACACTTCTCTCCCCACCTGTATCCAGACATGCCCTCATCTCCCTCACACACACACACACACGCACCTGCACGTGGGTGAGGCTGAGCTTCTGCACAGGCTTCTTGACGGGCAGGGCGGCCTGCTTCACCACCTCGCCGCACTGCAGCACCACCGCCTGCGACAGCTGCTCCAGCTGCTCCTCCTCCTCCGCATTCCAGGTGTGAGACCCCCACATTGCCCCATTCTCACACGAGGACGGGGAGAAACAAAGTGCCTTGGCTGACGTGGCAGCGGCTGATTGGCGGGTTTTCTTCGCCTGGGGAACAGTGAGGGAAGGTCGACGGCAGGAGGAGGTGGAAGGTGGGAACGGAGAGGGGAGAGGGCATGGTGGATGGGGAGGCTGACTCTAGTTGAAGAAGACGATATGCAGAGTGATGCAGGGAGAAACCTCGATGTCGGTCAATACTCGGAAGTAAGCACGTGTGATGGCATTACCCACATCACCGTCACAAGCATGACGATAAAACATTCAGAAAAAGAGCAGAACGGCATGGGAACGAGCACGGCAGAAAGGGACGCACCTCGGTCTCCTGGCGGCGCTGCAGGATCATGGTGAGCGAGATGGCGTCGATGCGCTTCTCCCTCACTGTCAGCACGTGCTGCCGCCGTGCCCACGAGTCGCTGGCTGCGGGCGGGAACGCGGGGTGGTTGTCAGACCGGGCGAAGGGCGACGCCTTGTTGTCGACAGGTCCCCGCCTGCCAGAGAACACAGACCCTACACGCCGCTTGATGGACTTGAGGCGGCACGCCCGAGGGTCCTCCTGAAACAAAGGACCGTGTGGGAAAGTTGTGAGTGGGAGATGGCGCCACAGGGTCGTGGCAACAGCGGCCGTTGCAAAGTGGCAAAGCCATCGGCATACAGCGAACCTGCATTGCAAGGAATTTGGGCTTGACAATTGGGCCCAACAATTGACCGCTGCACAATTGGGCTCGACACGCAGGAGCTTCAAAACGTTTTGGAAAACAACCAAACGCTTTTATTCACCCATCAGCCACCCACAAGCCCTTTCACTCCAAACACCTGAGTAGACATTCACCTTGTCCATGTGGGTGCCAGTCACGCGTAGCTCTCACCGCCTTCAAGCGGGTGTCCTTGGCACCTAACTCCACAAGGCGGTCGAGAATGACACGATAGGGCAGGTAGCGGCCACGCCAGCAGTTCCACTTGTACTTGAAGATGTGAGCGAGGTCAGCGGCTATGGAGGTGGCGACAATGTGCCTGTCCTTGACGCTCATGAAGGCATCGATGAGGAAGTTGAGGAGGATGAAGACCATGAAGACAATGAACATGAGGAAGAAGAGCATCGCCACTATCAGGTCCCACGACTCTAGGCGCTGGAAGAAATAGGCCGAGCCGTTGTCGTTGATGAGAAGCAGGAACAACGAGAACATGGAGTTCAGTACTGTGGAGAACTGCAACGAGGGGCAGGGAGGCGGGAGAAGAGATGATTGTAGGGCAATGGATGGAAAAGAACCACACAGTTGGGACATAGGAGGGGCAGCATGATGAACTTGGGAACATACTGCACAAGTACAAGATGTGGTTTTTGCTTGGTATTGACTTGTTGTGCATATGCATAAGCATTCATATATATATATATATACATATATTATACATAGATATTTTATATATATTATATATATTTGTGTATATGTATATGTATATGTATATGTATATGTATATATGTATGTATAGATACATATGTGTATATATATATTAAGTAAAAGTGATGGTAACTAGTTTCTGCTTACGGTTTTATTCCTCTCACCGCGCACAAGGAACCGTAGTTACTCTTATTACCAACCATAATGATAAGTTACGCACTTAATTTTAGTCCAACCATATGGGTAAGTCGCACACTCACTCTTAGGTCCCACCATACAGGTAAGTTGCACACTAACTTTTAATTCAAACTATACAATAAGTTTCGCACTCATTCTTAGTACCAACCATAAGAGGTTATGCACTTATTCTTAGGACCAACCATACATCTAAGCTGCGTACTTGCTCTTATGAGCAACCGTACGGGTAGGATATGCACTTACTCTTAACACCAACCATACAGGTAAGTCTCACACTCACTCTTAGTACCAAACATACGGGTAAGTTGCGCTCTTCCTGTTAGTATCAACCATACAGATAAGTTGTGCAGTAGCTCTTGGGACCAACCATACGGGTATGCACTTACTCGTGGTACCAACCATACGGTAAGTTGCGCATTTACTCCTAGTACCATAAGAATCAGTTACACACTTACTCGTAGTACCAACCATACAAGTAAGTTGCAAACTTATTCCTAGTACCAACCATACAGTAAGTCACGCACAATACAAAGAACATTAGTACATGAGTCCCACACCCATACATACCAGCTCCATTGCGCCTCCGAAGACGAGGTAGGCGTACATGTTGAAGTAGAAGAAGACCGTAAAGGAGAGCAGGAAGAAGTGCAGCAGAGAGGGCGTGGCGAGGCCAAGAGAGCGAGTGATGACCCCCAAGTAAGGCTGGAAGTCCATGACCTTGAGGAGCCGAATCATCATGAAGAATACACTGGGAGGATGGGGGGCGGGGAGGAGGGTGAAGAAGGGAGGATGTCAAATGAAGGATGTTGAATGTAGGCTGCTAGTAAACTGAACTGAACTTATGGGACACGAATAGCCGAACCTCGGAACGACCTGTGCTCATGCTTTGGTCGAATCAGTTCGGTTGGCCTAACCCCCCAGTTTAGGTCAGCTTGATTTGAACCAATTCAGGTCGGCTTTTGCTCATTCTAGGTAGTATGAGAAGCGGTAAAGATGGGTCATTTAAAGCCCCAAAAAAGCAAAGCAGCTCATTTGAAACTCTGCAGGGCAAGGTGGCTCACTTGATGCCCTGGAGGGCGAAGTAGACGGCGCGGAGGTTGATGATGTTGCGCAGATCAGCGAAGGCCTGAGTGGCGCTGATGAAACCTGTGGGCGGGTTGGGCACGGCCCAGTACCGTGGCATCTCGAGCAGCGTGTAGTAGATGTCGTACCGTGGCTGCATGTCAAATGCACTCACGTACCGCCACAGCACCACCCTGACCATAGCAATGCACACACATGTGGAGGACAGTGAGAGAATGCAGGCGCGTGGGGTGGGCGGATGAGCACAGAAGACGGATCCATAATAAACGTTGTGCAAGATGAGACGATGAGAACCAAATGCATTGTACCGCCAAGGCTACCACCGGTGCAGCTGGGCTGGTTTCTTACCAGATAACAACCGCAGCGACTTGCAGCGAGAGGGAGAGCATGTCAATCCAGTTCCACGCTTGGCCAAAATAGCTGAATATATAGCCATCCGTGGAAGCGCGGTCGGCCATCTCCTGCAGCTCGCCACACACATTCCAGAGCAGCCCCACCAAGTAAACTATCTCCAGCACCAGCCGTGCGATGTTGTCCGCCGATGCATCGTACATGGACATGGCTGCTGGCTGTGACTTGAAGCTCACTGCCATGCTGCCCCCAGAGTCCAACGTGCACTTCACAGTGGTCAGCACAAACGTGAGCGTCTCGCCTGCCAACGTGGGGGGGCAGGGAGGCCAGCAGTGAAAGGTGAACGGTGAGAGGTGGTCAGAGACACGTGAGCAGTGAGAGAGGTGAGCAGTGAGATGTGAGCAGTGAGGCATGCAGTTGAGCACTGAAGGAACGAATGCATGTGTTGAGTAGATAGGTACATGTGTTTGAGAACAATTGTTTGTTAGTGTAAGTCATCAATTTCACTTTGTATTTGTACTTTCTATATCATAGCGTAGTGTAGTTTGCACTTTGTGTTTGGTTGGGTGTACACCCACATCCCAACCAAACTCAAATGTAATTTCCAAGCAATCTTTAACGCACCAATTGGAGATTGCCTTGGGATTACCCCCAATCCTTAGAAATTGTTCTCATTTCCCTTCTGCTTCCATTCCTTGCCCATCCTGGATGTGCTGTAAGAGCTTCAAGCTCATTACTAATGCATGGATTCTAAGCTCAAGTTCTAACATTGTTGCCACTTGGTAATTACCGTTAAAGGTGATAAAGCTGACATCGACGCTGCGTGTGCCGTTATCAATGGCAACCACCAGGTAGTGTAGACGCCTTGTGGCCGCCTCGTTATCAAGATTAATGTCAAACACCAAAGGGTAGGTGGTCAGCGACTCCTGCTAAAAAAGAGGTAAAGGTTACAGGGAATGGGTAAAGGAGGGAAACAAGCCAGTTGGCAACAAGGCAGAAAGGCTGCAAGGAAGCAAGGAAGCAACGCAGCAAAGCAACAAGGCAGCAAGGCAAGGAGCACAGTACAAGGGATGAGTTGTCTGCTTCGCATGACCCCTGTGGGCCTGTGATCGAGCTGAGCACTTCACTAAAGCTCCATGCAGTGCAGTGTGGGACTGCGACTGACCATGAACCAAAGTAACGCACTTAGTCTTGGTACATGAAGTGAAGGGGTTAGCACTGACCATGGGGTAGATGAAGCCATAGGGGAGGCCCTGTGGGTTAAACTTGAGTTTAAAGCCGAAGGTGTTGTTGTCGAGCTGGCTCATGTTGGCGCTGGCAGTGCTGTCGTAGATGGCCGATGTGGGCAGGAAGTGCGGGTTCACTCCAAACGGCTCCGTGGACGTGCCGTTGCTGCACCACCCCGCCAGGTGCAGCAGGCTGCGAAGAAGATGCGTTGGCGGGGAAGGAGAGAAAATCAGCTGAGAGAAAATCAGCTGTGAGAAAAAGGAAGAAAAGGAGTTGAGTGCAGGCGTTTCGGAAAGAAGTTCATGGCACTGACAAGTGGCAGCCTTGCATGTTGGGCTGCTCGGCTTGAGAGATTCGCTCGCCAATGTGGTCATGAGATGAGAACCCAGCCCAGCCGAGCCGAGGCGATCCGAGACGGGACGCGCATTATGCTTAGCGACTGAGTTGTGCCGAGCCGACCCTGGCTCGTGAAGCTGTGATGCGATGTGGCCCCACTTGAGGACTCGTTGCAGCTCATTGCTTTTGTGATCGTTACGCCCCATGCCCCACATGCACTCACCCCATTCACCACATGCCGTCACCCCATTCACCAGACACTCACCCCGATCCGTTGCACTGCTGAGTGCCTATCCGATCCTGCTGCAGCACCATGCCGATCAGCAGACTGCCATGGAGAAGAATGGAAAAGGAGGGGGGGGGGAAGGGGGGGTTGGAAGCGAGATATGGAAGAGGAGGTTTAGAAGCCTGTTTTGGTGGTGAACGGAGGCCCTGCCGGGCAAAGGGAAGCCGCCAGAACAAGACATCGTTGCACGTCTGTAACCTGCTGCCCGTCCAGTTGTGGTGTGACACGGTTAACGGTGATGCCCAATACATGACAAGGTATGCCGGCCAACAAGTGTGGCGGCCGCCAACAGGGCACGCACAGGAGGCAGGGAGGCACGGAGGGGTGGGGTGAGGGAGGGGGAGTGGAGGCGCATACCGGTTGCGGCCGGACACGTAGCGCTTGACGGGGAAGCCCCGCTCAGCCGCGAAGGCGAAGTTGCTCTCTGTGTAGTTGGGGCCGTAGCGCTGCAGTGAGAAGGGGAAGTTGAGATTCGTGCCCACCGCCGTGGATAGACAGCACGCTGCAGAATGGGAGTAGGGGGGGGGGGGGGGGGGTGAGGAAAGGGAGGAGATGAGGACGAGAGAGCATGGATGGGAGGTCAAGGGGGCACTGAAAGGAATTGCAAGTCAGAAAATGAGGAGTAAAACGAGGACAGGAGGGGAGGCAGGGCTGGCGGAGCAAGACATGGGCCGAAGAGGCAAAGGAAAAGGGGGGAGAGGGATGACTGACAGCCGTCGTTGCGGCGGGTGTGGCCGGGGGGGCAGGGGCAGATGCCGGGGCCAAAGAGTGGGTCGACACACGCGCAGTCGCCACCGTCAAAGGCGCACGCGGGTGTGTTGCACGCCGTATCGCACACCCCGTTCGCCAGCCGTCGCAAAAGGCACCCCGGCGAGCACTCGTAGGTTGCCATGGCGTTGGTAGTGCCAGTGGTGGTGTTTGTGGTGGTGGTGTTAGCAGCGGCGACGGTGGTATTGACAGAACCTGCAACTCCTTGCATGCAAAAAAAAGGAATGGAGAAGGGCCAGGAGACGTTGAGAGGAGGGGTTGGAGAATGATGGAAAGGAGGGACGAGCTGCAAAGGAGGATGGAGAGCGAGGAGAATGGAGGCAAGACGGTGCAGTGGGATGCATCAGATGCATAGCGCACCTGTTACCATAACGCACCCGTTACCATAACGCACCTGTTACCATAACGCACCTGTTACCATAACGCACCTGTTACCATAACGCACCTGTTACCATAACGCACCTGTTACCATAACGCACCTGTTACCATAACGTACATGTTGCCATAACGCGCCTGTTACCATAACGCACCTATCACCACGCACCTGTCACCATAACGCGACTGTTACCATAACGCGCCTGTTACCATAACACACCTGTCACCATAACGCACATGTTACCATAACGCATCTGTTACCAAAATGCATATGTTACCATAACGCTCTTGCCACCATAACGAACATGTCACCTGTTACCATAATGCACCTCTAACCATAATGGTAATCATGCAACGCTCACCAGCGGCAGCATCAACCCCAGTCCTAGCAGGCAGCACTGTGAGAATGCTGGTGGACATGGAGGTGGGGGAGGATGAGGAGGCGGAGGAAGAGAGGGCGTCCCCGGAGGTGGTTGGCAGAGCGCCGTCCTGGTAGTTAATGCTGATGGGCTCTGCAAACACCTTGCTGTAGGCGAATGTGCCCGCTGGCTCGTCCTCCATCTCTGGTTGAGGAGAGGTGAGAGGTGGGGGAGAGGGGTGGAGAGGGGTGGAGGGGGAGAGGGGATTGGGATGGGCAGTGGGTGGGACGAGTGAAAGTGTGCGAGCGTCATGCTGCTGCTGCTGCAGCAGCAGCAGCAGCAGCAGCAGCAGCAGCAGCAGCAGCAGCAGCAGCAGCAGCAGCAGCAGCAGCAGCAGCAGCAGCAGCAGCAGCAGCAGCAGCAGCAGCAGCAGCAGCAGCAGCAGCAGCAGCAGCAGCAGCAGCAGCAGGCGGGCCAGTTCATCATTCCAGCAGCAGCAGCGATTCATACATCACCCACCACACCCACCAGACGGCCCCGCACTCACTGAGCACGCAGGGCTCGGGGTCGTCTGTCATGTCGCCAGCGCCCACGTTCATGGGAGTGCACACCATCTGCCGTGACACGGCCAGGCGGTTCCCCCTGAAGCCCAGGAACAGCGGGTCGGCCGCCTCGCCCATCCCCGCCACTGGTCGTGGTGTGATGGCAGTGGCGGCGGCACAAGGGTTGTGGAGGCAGAGGGGTGATGGGGTGTGAGGCAACGCATGCTAGCAATTGGTAAGGACAACATGGGGTCGGAAATCGTTACAGCGGCACAACATGAGCGGTCATTGAGGTGGTTTTTGAGGCGCCTAAAAAACCACATGAGCGGTCATTTCATATGCGGAGAAGTATGGGCACCGATGGCCAGAGGAGGTTGTGGCTGGCACAAATGAATGCAAGTGGTAGAGCTTCAAAGTCCGCTGAGGGGTGGTGGGGTGCACCTCTAAGGGAGTGCGGGAGGTCGTCATCCCACACCCAGGTGACCTTGTCGCCCACATGGATGGTCGTGTTGTGCTTCACACCCGCCCGCCACTGCAGCCATGCTCCACCTGAAAGGGAGACAGACAGCACACGGGCGAAGAAATGCCTTCAGGTAATGTGCGCTGCACGCACACACCCACACATGCACACGCACCCACCACCATTGTCACCCACCAGAAACACCCACCACCACTATCACATGCCATGAGCACCTTGCGAGCAGCCGACAGCATCAGATGTGACGACAGCATTGTCGAAGGCATGCATGAGCGTGTTGAGGCGCGCCGCTGCCACGTCTGGCATGGGCGTGACGGACCGCAGCGCCGCCACCATGGTTTGCACGAAGCGCCGCATGTGCTGCGATGAGATCATGCGCCCGCCGCTCACATGCGTGCGCTGCAGGTATGCATACATCTCACCGCCCCCCACCACCTGGTGCCCTGTTTCATTCGTGACCGGCACTCTTCCAATGTCGTCGCAGGTCCACCCAGCATGGTGCACATGCACGCCACCATGCGACCCCTCACACTGCTCGGCCCTCCCAGCGTGTAGTTGCTCGCTCCCGCCACTACCCTCGCCTCTGCCCCTGGAGCACGGCCGGCAAGGCACGTATCCTTGGCCATGGTGAAGAGTGCGCGCGACACCGCCATTTGCAGGGCTGTCAGTCGCTGGTGGTCCGTGGCGCCCAGGAGTGACCAGAGGGAGGGCTGTGAGGGGTCTGCTGCGGCCGCTGATCCCACTGCTGCAATGGCTGCTGCTGCTGCTGATGCTTGTGATGGTTCCCGCCGCTCGACTCCCTGTTCTCGCCCCCCGATTCGTCTTTCCCGCCGGCCGGTTCCCTTTCCCGTCGCCCGATTCACATTCCCGCCGCCCGGTTCCCCTTTCCCGCCGCCCGAATCCCCTTCCGCGCCGCCTGAATCCCCTTTCCCGCCCATTGATTCCGGGCGGGCCGCCCGACCGCCCCTTTCCCGCCGTCCGATTCCCCTTTCGCGCCGCCGCCGTTCCCGCCGCCCGATTCCCGTTCCCGCCGCCCGCTTCCCCTTTCCCGCTGCCCGATGCGCTTTCCCGCCGCCCGATTCCCATTTCCCGCCGCCAGACTCCCCTTCCCGCCTCGCTATTCCCCTTTCCGTCGCCCGAACCAACTCTCACCCTTGTCTCCCCTACCCCTACCTGATGCCCCTTCCCGCGGCTCGACTCCCTGTTCTCACCCTTGTTTCCCTTGTCTCCCTTCTCTCCGTTCCCTCCCTTTCTCACCCTTCTCTCCCTTGTCTCCCTTCCTCGCCCTTCACTCCCTTCACTCCCTTCACTCCCTTCACTCCCTTCCCTCCCTTCCCTCCCTTCTCTCCCTGCCCTCCCTCCCCCCCTTCTCTCCCTACCCTCCCTTCTCTCCCTTCCCCCCCTACTCTCCCTGAGCCACCTTCTCTCCCTTTCCTCCCTTCTCTCCCTTTCCGCCCTTCTCTCCCTTTCCGCCCTTCTCTCCCTTCCCTCCCTTCTCTCCCTTCCCTCCCTTCTCTCCCTTCCCTCCCTTCTCTCCCTTCCCTCCCTTCCCTCCCTTCTCTCCCTTCTGTCGCTTCCCTCCCTTCCCGCTCTTCTCACCAACTCTTTGATATGCCTTCCTGTCCCCCATCCTTCCTTCCTTACGCACTCCTCCTGCCATTCTCTCCTCTTGCAATCTTCACTGCCATCCTTCCCTTCCACATATCCTGTAACCAAGCCCCCTTCGATTCTCTTGTCGTCACCACCCAAGCAACAGCAGCATTGCCATGGGAAATTTCAACATGCATCTCCCACCTACCCCCACCTACTCCCATCTCACCTCCCCTCCCCCTACCACATACTCCCATCTCACCTCCCCTCCCCCTACCACATACTCCCATCTCACCTCCCCTCCCCCTACCACATACTCCCATCTCACCTCCCCTCCCCCTACCACATACTCCCATCTCACCTCCCCTCCCCCTACCACATACTCCCATCTCACCTCCCCTCTCCCCCCTTTACCACGGGATATCAGCCCACCACGCCTCCCCATACCACCTGCTCCCATAATTGCTCCCCTCCCCCTACCACGTACGACATACTCCCATTTGACCTCCCCTTCCCCTACCACCTACTCCCTTCTCATCTCCCCTCCCCCTACCACCTCTCCTGGCTCTATCAGGCACTCCTTGCTCACCTCCCATCCCCCCACCAGGGGCACTCTTCTCATCTCCCCTCTCCTGCCCCTTCTTTCCCCCTCCCTTACCAAGGGCGTTCTGCTCACACCTTGCCCCTCTAGGAAACCCACACTCCTATTCTTCCATGTTTGGTCCCCCAGCATTCCCTTGCTCGGTTTCTGTGCTTGTGTTGCAGTTGGGGATCCTTCCCGACTGGACATCCTACTATCTGCGCCTCACAGGGCATATAAGAGCCAGCAACCTGGGCATGGATAGGCAGCGGTGGCAATGGGAATGGCAGGGGAGCGTGGCAACGGCCACGAGCAAAGCAGCATCAAGCCTCTTGGTCACTCGGACCGTCCTTATATGGTTCAAAACATTAGCACATAAACACAACACACCCTCTCACATCCCCTATTAGGCATTTCTTACTGACCCAACACATCGTGCCGTCAAACGCATGTTTCTGTGTTTTTTTATCAACTGGTTATTGATTGCGGTGTTCTGACATCGTTGCAGGTTGCTTACATCATCAGTTTTATAGAATGAACGCTACTATAACACATTACGTAATCAAAGCGGTTTGGTTACAAGTAAAAGCAGAGGCAATCCATGCATACGAACTTAGCAATGTACGATTGGTCGAGTGTGCAGCCAACTTCTACTTTTAGGCGATGCGGGAAATGTGACGGTGCTGGCAGTCATTGGGGAGGATAGCCGAGCGAGGAAAGGGTGCACGCAGCAGGTCGCCTTTCCAGGACCACAAGCTTTTGGGGCTGCCAGGCGGACCAGTCATTGGAGGTCCACTCCAGCAGCACCACATTCATTTCTGCATAGCAAATCTGCCCGTTGCCGTCTGTCCACACTGCCCCAAACCTGCACGAAAGATGAGGGGAGAAGGGATGCATAGAGGATGGATGGTGGGGAGAGAAGGGATGCGTAGGGGATGGATGGGGAGAGAAAGGGAAAAGAGGCAGAGATGGGGTGAGGCAGAGATTGGATGAGGTGGAGATGGGATGAGGTGGAGATAGGATGAGGTGGAGATGGGAGGGTGGAGATGGGATGAGGCAGAGATGGGATGAGGCAGAGATGGGGTGAGGCAGAGATGGCGCGAGGCGGAGATGGGGCGAGGCGGAGATGGGGCGAGGCGGAGATGGGGCGAGCAGCGCGTTGGTAGTACGGTACTGGAGGTGGAAAGTGGAAACTGTGGGTAGGGGGAGGGAGGGTAAGCAAGGGAAGGGAGCATAAGGAGGGGATGCAGGGGGGGAAAGGAGGGGAAGCACGGGGGGGAAAGGAGGTGAAGCAGGGGGGGAAAGGAGGGGAAGCAGGGAGGAAAAGTAGGGGATGCAGGGGGGGAAAGGAAGGGAAGCAGAGGGTGAAAGGAAGGGATGCAGGGGGGGGGAAGGAGGGGAAGCAAGGGGGCAAAAGGAAAGGGAAGCAGGGGGGAAAGGAGGGGAAGCAGGGGGAGAAAATAGGGGGATGCAGGGGCGGAAAGAAGGGGAAACATGGGGGGAAAGGAGGGAATACAAGGGGGGGGAAAGGAGGGAATGCAAGGGGGGGAAAGGAGGGAATGCAAGGGGGGGAAAGGAGGGGAAAAAAGGGGGGAACGGAGGGGAAGCAGTGGGGGAACGGGGGAGGGGATGCAGGGGCTGAAAGGAGGGGATGCAAGGGGGAAAAGGAGCGGCGAGGGGGAAAGGAGGGGAAACACGTGGGGGAAAGGAGGGGAAACATGGGGGGGGGAAGGAGGGGAAACACGGGAGGGAAAGGAGGGGATGGAGGGGGGAAAAGGAGGGGAAGCAAGGGGGGAAAGGGGTGGGTGCACTGGGAGAAAGGAAGGGACGCAGGGGGGGAAAAGAGGGGATGTAGGGAGGGAAATCAGGGGAAGCAAAAGGGGAAAACAAGGGGAAGTAGGGGGGAATTGGGGGAAGGGAGGGCGCAGAGGGGAAACTCATGGCATTTCTCTGGCGCGCGCGTGTCTGGAACCGGGTGCTGTTTGGTGGCGCGCGAGCACCACATGCGCTCGATTTGCTGGCGGCGTCGCTAAGAAGGCGCGTGCCGCTTTGCTGCGCGCCTTTCGCTGGCGCGCGCTGCTCTGCTGAGCGCATCCCAAAATTGCAAAAGTTGGGTTTGGCCTATCGGGCAAGGAAGTGGGTACTTCAAAGCTTGGCTTGGGGTAGCTACCTTCTCAATACAATGAATCTACAGGCAATTTCGTAAGGCCCCATACCTACCTTGCATGCCGAGCCTAGGACCCAACAGACTGAATACAATGTTGCTGGGTTGGGAACATTTACAAACCAGACACATCGGCCAATGAGTGCATCCCGTACCAAACGCCCAACAGGGCAAGAAGCACCACCCACCTACAAAGCCACCACAATGACCCTACCCTGCGTGAACAGTAATGTTTTCTCGATATTGTCAGTTCAGCGTGCACAAAATTTGCGACACTGGCTTACACGTATACTGGTACAATCTTTTAGAATCTCTTTTACGTCACTGGCTGTTTTGACACAAATAGTGACGCTTTGTCAGTAGGACAGGGCTGTAAACCCGAACGAACAATGAAAAATACGGCTGGTTTTCCCTTCACAAGCATCTCAAATCACATCTACTTGTAGCCGTCGATTGACGAGATCGACGGTTTATAATGATTTTGGCAATTGGTGCAGGTTCGATCGGTCACCGTCGATCAGAATCGCTTGAACAGTTTAGATCAAAGGTCTGTTAGGTAAGGTTGGAATTCGCACCGTAGATCTCGAAGGCAGTGAATGGTCGAGATCTCTCCTGACTTCTCTCAAACCATTTCAAGAGATAAGTGTGGTGGCCAAGGGTTGGAATATCAGCCGTCGATCGTCATCCTTGGATGGCTACGATCGACAGATGCAGAAGATAATGCTCTCTGGCTTCCAATTGGTTTATACTCAGATTTTCGGCTGACGCTACCACACATAATTGGGTAGTTCCAACACCCACCTTCTCATTTCCTCCTCCCATTTCTTCCACGCAATTTAGTTTCGTTCCCTGCTCTTCAGATTCACCTGCCATACCACGGTCTTGTTCGTTTTTCTGCTTGGGAGTCTTCAGCGCGACTAATTGATTCTCAGTCGTTTGCATCTACCTTACCACACTACTGCAGGCGATATTGGCATGGCGATTGGGCGTGCCGATATGGGCGTGGCGATATGGCTGGCGTCATGGGCGTGGCGACATGGGCGTGGCGATGTGGGCGTGACGATGTGGGCGTGGCGATGTGGGCGTGGCGATGTGGGCGTGGCGATATGGGCGTGGCGATATGGGCGTGGCGATGGCGTGTAGTTGCGGTAGCGTTGTTACTACTGTAAGCACTATGCTTAGTTTCTGTTGTCTGTTGTGCTAACCATTAATTTATTGTTGTCTGTTTGTTTAACTATTAACGGTGTGTCAACGTGTCGCGATTTTGCTGGCTACACGTTTTCCTGTGCAGAATGTGCTATTATGCTTTGTTATCATCAATTTCGTTCTGTGTTTTCTGTCAAGTGTTGGCTGAACCCTGGTACGTATTTGGCGCTCTCTACTTGTTGATTATTGACTCTTGCTTTGCAGGGAGGTGTTTATCGATTGCACGCGCAAGGCGACTTAGTAGGGCAGCACCACGTATATTTGTATTGGTGGGATGTCTATTTGTAACGTTCTATAAAAATATTCAAGTTCTCTGTTTAACAAATAAGCGTGTATCTGCAATCGTAAATCAAATGCAATGAATCATGCCAAAGTTTGCTGTACAGCACTATGCACTACATACTATGTACCTACTCTATGCTTGCTGAGGGAGTAGGTTCAGAGTAAATTTAAAATATCTATTATGTAGTTTCTATACACTTATCGGAGTATGTACTGTGGTTACCCTATTTCCACCCCGTAAGGGGATTCGAAGTAAAATGTCTGTAGCAGAACCTATAAGTACAATGTACCCGAGTTCACTGTAGGCACATCGAACATCGCATGCACTTACGGGGTGACTACAATGTAGCTCCAGCGGTGTTTTTTGGGATGCGCGCCTGACGCGCACTTTGCTGGCGCGTGCGGAATGCCAGCATAGCTGGCGCAAGTTCCGCGTGCGAAACGCCGGCATAGCTGGCGCAAGTTCAGCGCGCGAAGCCGCAGCATAGTTGGCGCAATTTCCGCGCGCGAAACGCCAGCATATCTGGCGCAAGTTCTGCGCGCGATACGCCAGCATAGCTGGCGCAAGTTCCGCGCGCGCAACGCCAGCATAGCTAGCGCGATATCCGCGCGCGAAACGCCAGCATAGCTGGCGCAAGTTCCGCGCGCGAAACGCCAGCATAGCTGCCGCGAATACTGCTAGTCTACTCTCATTAGTGTGAGGTGGAAGGTGAGTTCGGTGACGGGAGCCCTTTCCCATTTTGTGACTCACGACCTTCCCAAACCTGGTTCCCTCACGACAGAAGCGCCCCAGTTGTTCGCCAACACTCTCGCGATTCTGTTTTTCTTTTCGTTGGGGCGAAATCGCCTTGCACACTGTACAGAAACAACAGTACTGTCAAATGTATACTCCTGCCAAACCAACAAGGACCGCTGACCTGACACGGTGTACACGACCACTATGGCAGTGGGGGGATGCAATTAATTTGGCACGTATTGCCACTTCGGCGGAGTGAGGGACCTCTTGGGTGCGGGACATCGATTGGGGGAATGTACTGTATTATTCCGTATATAGGCGCATGTGCGCTTATAATAAAATCGTTTTTTTAGGGGGTGGCGCTTGTAATTGAATCACGGCCATAAGCGCCGGTGCTTATATCATGACAAATACAGAAATACAACTTAACAGCACGAAACTGTACATTTCAGTCTCGTATTTTCAATCGAATCGAAATTCTAAAGCGTCCTGAATCAGAATCGCGCAAAGGGCAATTCTCTGACAGTGCACAAAGCTTTGGCACGTCAGTTTGACCGCGTGCCAGCTCATCCTGACTGGACGCGAAAGGGGTGAGGTCCCCAAAGTCAAAGAAAGTGAAAAAGAGGTGTGTGACTCGCTGGAGTTTAGAAATTCGTTACCGTTTTAATCAAGATAAAAAGATGAAATTACGCATGCGCTTATAATAAATCAGGGTTGTACAGGGGGGGCGCTTATAATCGAGTTCCGGCCATAAGCGCCATGCTCCAGATAGAAGCGCCGGCGCCTTTAATCGGACGCAGGCCCTCAGAAGTCAGACTTTTTTCTCTGATTTGGGCTTTTTTCTCTGATATTTCAGATTTTTTTTCCTGTGTACTCTGATAAAATCAGACTTTTTTGGGCCTCAACTCTGTAATTTTCAAACGTTTTTTAAGGCTAACTCTGAGAGTTCAGAGTTTTCTGAGAGTGTACTCTGATCATTCAGAGTACAAACGCGTCCTTGACTAGTGATTCGGACTTACGTGTCACAGCAGATTCGCACTGCAAAAGCAAAATCGCCTTGACATAGCAAATCCGAGCCTTACATCACAAGATTTTCGCCCAATCAGAGCAACATCGCCCTGACACAACAGATTTGCGTTGTCAGAGCACCACAATTTTCGCCCAATCACAGCAAAATCGCCCTGACATTGCACATTCGCCTTTTCGCACCACAAGATTCGCCCTGACACATATATTCGCCCTGTCAGAGCATGTTTTATCGAAAATCCCCTTAGTGTAGCATGTTTCGGTAGCAGGTGAATGAAACATCGAATGCACTTCCGATGAAACATTGAATACAATGATTTTGAATGATCAGACTTTTTTAATAAGGCACTCTGACATTTCAGCCTTTTTTTTATACCAAGTTTGAGATTTTCAGACTACCGTAATCACCCGGACAAAACACTGTCAGAATGTTATTATTGTCTAGCCTGTAGTGGGGTGCTCTATAGCGAGTACAACCCAGTTAGGGTTTGCTATATGTACCCCAACTGCTGCTAGTGAAACCTCTCTCCTTTCAATCATTCTTGCCTAGTTCTTCTCACATGCTATCAGAGCAGGTCGACCCTCCTGGGTCGATCCTGTGGGTGGGCCCACCACCTAATGCTTCCGCTGCTTTACTTCCTGCCGGGCGCCTCGGGCGCGCGACGACTTCTTCCTGCCGTGCGCTCGGGGCGCGCGGCGGTTTTCTGCACGCCGTGCGCCCCGAGGCGCGCGGCGGTTTCCCACCGTCGAAGTGCCCCCCGTCGCCCGTCGAAGCGCCCTCCCCCCGTCGCCCGTCGAAGCGCCCCCGTCGCCCGTCGGAGCGCCCCCCGTCGCCCGCCAAAACGCCCCCGTCGCCCGTCGAAGCGCCCCTGGGACCCGCGCGCGGCCCGTACGGGCTGCGCCAGGCCAGCGCGCGGCGCGGGCAGCCTGCGCGCGCCTCGTCCGTCCCCCTCTCGCCGTCCCCCGCGCTCCTGCCCCTATCCCACCCGTTTTAGGGTTTGGGGATGTAGAGTGTGGGGGTGGCGGGTGTGGGGGTGCCGGTTGTGTGCCCCGTCCCCTCCTTCTCCTCCTCCTCCGTCTCCCGCTGCTGCAGCTGCCGCTCAGGGGGGTGGTTGTGTGGGGAGCCGAAGGAGTGGTCCTAGGGGGGTGAAGGGGGAGTGGAGCTAGGGGCGCAGCAGGGGGTGTGTGTCGAGGGGCGTGGGACGGTCGGGGGAGGTTGCGTGGAGGTAGCCGTCGTGACGCCAGCAGCGCCAGTAGTCCGGATGCCCTCGCGCGTTTCGGTAGCCCAGCGAGCCTGCTTCGCCAGTCGCCTGTGGGTCCGTTGCTCCTGTGTGTGCTCGTCGTAGCCGCGGAGCCAGATACTCCCGTAGTCCGGTGCCCTCGTGCGCTCGGTAGCCACTGTGCGCGCCGCTCCTGTTGCCCGTGTGTCTGCAGCTTCAGTCGGCGCCTTTCATCTTCTCGCCCTCACAGTTTCTCCTCCTCCTCACTTGCCCTCTATGATCACCTCTAGCTTTGCTTATAATTGTGAACTATTGCTATGCCTGCTCATTGTACTGATTACACCCCACTTTGGCTATGGGGGTGTGTCAGAATGTTATTATTGTCTAGCCTGTAGTGGGGTGCTCTATAGCGAGTACAACCCAGTTAGGGTTTGCTATATGTACCCCAACTGCTGCTAGTGAAACCTCTCTCCTTTCAATCATTCTTGCCTAGTTCTTCTCACAAACACCCCCCCGTAATAGTACACCCCCGGGTAGCTTGTGCGGGGGGGGTGCTATAGCCGACCTCGTTTGTACTATACCCCCCTTTTTGGGATGATTCTCTATAACACCCCCCTTTTCTTACGAAACCCTATTATAGCTGTTATCGAGTCAGATTTTTTACGGGAATATCGCTTCCTGAATGAAATTTCGCGTGCACTTTCACTTCGAATCTACCGAGATTCCCTCCCTTCCACAATTTCGCTGTCGCCACGCTGGCGAATCTTCCGCTGCACGTGGCCCGAGAGGTGAAACTCACATTCTCGCCAAAACGCGAATTCTCGCCTCAACATGTGATGTTAAAACGACTATTGAAACACCCAAATTGTCTAATTAAACTTTTTTCTTACACTAAAAAGTGCCATATATAACCACCCGGGTATTATATAGGATTTTCCGTTGAGAGCACCCCCCCCATTTTTTCCCTGTGGTTATCATAATACCCCCGGGTGTTATGTTCGGGTGATTACGGTAAAATTGTGTACTAGTCTGATGAATCAGACAGGCCTAAAACGAATCTGAGGGCCTGATCGGACGGCGCCTATATCCGGGGCCATACGGTGCCATGCCACCTTCTACGTTTCGGGAACTCTCTCAGAATGGTCACAACTTCTCTCAAAAAGTGTACAACTAAACTTCTTTAATCTCATTGGAAGTCCAGGTGCTTTGAAACAATAGGAGAAGAAAATCTTATGGCATCTTCTGCCAACTGGCTTGAGCCAAGACGCACAAGATGCCATGAAAATTTATTCACTTGTCCATCATCCCCGTTGGAACACCATCTCCAGCAGGATGGTGTTCCAACAAATGCAGTTTCCCCAATGGAAGTGAAATGTTCCTCAGGAAATGGTAGGGGAAATCCAAACTTCCGGCATTATCATATGCCCGGGATGTCAGACAGTTCACTGTCTGTCCATCATGCCGGACAGCCCCGCTGGTGGCACAGCAACAAAGGTCCTGCTGCTCGGAACCACCACCACCCTCCCTCCACAAGCGCTCCTTTGCTTTGCTTACTGGATGCAGGTACATCACAGCTCGGATCAACGTGCAATCCTGATGTGTGCCGCACTGAATCCCCACCAATTCAGCTAGGAAAGTTGAGGGTGGGCCTTACGGTGTAACAGGGGAAACAGTCAATCATTTCAGCTCTTCTCGGTGATTCGGAATCTTGGTCTCCTTGGTTTCCGATCAACGGCTGTTGCCATGACTCCTCCGCGCTCGCACCACCCTCACCGCCCTCTTCTGCCTCATCTTGAAACACAACCCGCCGCGACGCTCGTCTCGGTGAAGGCGTTGGGAAGCAGCCCACTCTCTCACTTGACCGGCCAGAACCGCTTTGCACACCCACATCCGCCGCTGCTCCTTCCCCCATGCCCATCCCACCCGCCTCCCCACCCGGCCCCGGCAGGGGTGATCCCGAGGGGGGAGTGGGGAGCGGAGCCTGAGCGCGCAGCGAGGGGAGGGTGCGGTCGAGCAGGGCCATCATGGCGCGCATGTCGCTCTGCATGTCCGATATCATGGCCCTCAGCTCCTCCGCAGTCTCATGGCTGCGTAGCACCTCCTCCTGCACTTGGAGCACCTTCTCCTGCACCTGATTGAGGCTGATTTTCTGCGCAGGCTTCTTGACGGGCAGGGCGGCCTGCTTCACCACCTCGCCGCTCTGCAGCACCACCGCCTGCGACAGCTGCTCCAGCTGCTCCTCGTCCGCGGTCCAGGTGGGGGCAGCCCCCAACAGCGTGCCACTCTCACACCGGGACTGGGAGAAACGAGGCATGCTTGATGACATGGCAGCAGCAGATTGGCGGGATTTCTTGGCCTGGAGAACAGCAAGGGAAGGTTGACGGGAGTTGAAGGTGGAGGGTGGGAATGGAAGCACAGAGAGAATGATGGATGGGAAGGCTGTATATAGGTACGAGTCAGGCTAAGAATAGAGGCCGAGGGATGCAGGGAGAAACATCGGGTTGCCGTGGATATTGGCCAATACAGGGAGAATGAGCAACTGTCTTGGCACTATTTGCATCAGCCGACACAAGCATGACAAGAAAGCATCCCAACGAACCATGGAAATGCATGGCAACGAGCACGCCAGCAAAGACTCACCGCCCTGTCCTGGCGACGCTGCAGGATCATGGAGAAAGAGATAACGTCGATGCGCTTTTCCCTCACTGTCAGCACGTGCTGCCGCCGCACCCGAGAGTCGCTGGCTGCGAGCGGGAACGCGGGGTGGTTGCCTGACCGGGCCAAGGGCGCCGGCTTGTCGGCGCTGCCTCGCTTGCCCGAGAACATGGAGGCTACCCGCCGTTGGATGTCCTTGAAGCGGCGCATCCGAGAGTTCTCCTGAAACGAAAGCACGTGGGGGGGAAATTATGAGCGCGAAATGGCGGTTACGGGGCGGTGTCGAAGTGTTTTTTTGAGAATTCTAAAAAAAAGTGTTTTTTTGAGAATTCTCAAAAGTGTTTTTTTGAGAATTCTCAAAAAAACACTTCAGCGCGAAATGGCGGTTATGGGACGGTGTCAACAGTGGCCATTGCAGAATGACAAAAGAGCCACCTTAACCTGCGTGGAAAGTAACCAATCGCCTTATGCCTGCATGCATGGTCCACAGCAGCTCCGCACCCACTAGAGAAACAACCACAGAACCCCACAGAACCCTCCACTTCACTCACTCACCCCATCCGACACCCACAGAACCCTCCATCAAACACCTCACTTCGCACTCACATCTTTTATGCGGGTGTCCTTGGCGCCCAAGTCCACAAGGCGATCGAGAATGACAGGGTACGGCAGGTAGCGGCCGCGCCAGCAGTTCCACTTGTACTTGATGATGTGAGCGAGGTCAGCGGCTATGGAGGTGGCGACGGCGTCGCTGTCTTTGACATCCATGAAGGCATCGACGATGATGGCGATGAGGAAGTTGAGGAGGATGAAGACCATGAAGACAATGAACATGAGAAAGAAGAGCATGGCTGCTATGAGGTTCCATGACTCGAGGCGCTGCAAGAAGTAGGCGGAGCCATTGTCGTTGATGAGCAGGAGGAAGAGGGAGAACATGGACTCAGATACTGTGGAGAACTGCACAGCGTGGGTTGCGGAGGCAGGGAGGGGGTGTTTGTGGGACAATGGATAGAGAAGAGAAGACACAAGAAGTTCGGAAACAGGAACGGGGTTATGTAAAATGTTTGGAGAAAAAAAACAAAACAAAACAAAACAAAAAAGTAGTGTGCACTGCACGAGTACATGGGCCAGCTGAAAAGAGCAAGGTGATGGTAACTGGATTCCGCATATGGCTGTATTATCTCATAGCACCTCATTGGTGTTCACTTGGACTTGACATAGCCTGCACTGAATAAGCACATGACCTGCACACATACCAGCTCGAGTGCGCCTCCGAAGACGAGGTAGGCGTACATGCTGAAGCAGAAGAAAATGGTAAAGGAGAGCAGGAAGAAGTGCAGCAGTGAGGGCGTGGCGAGGGCGAGCGAGCGAGTGATGACCCCGAGGTACGGCTGGAAGTCCATCACCTTGAGCAGGCGAATCATCATAAAGAATACACTGGGGGGATGGGGGACCGGAAGGAACGGATGTTGAGGTTTTTAGGATGTCTGCCAATTAAACTGAACCTGTTGGACAAGAATCAAATCGGCCCGAAACAGATTGGCTCACTTTGACTAGCCCTTTCGCCGGTTCAAGAACAAAACTGGTTCGGGCACAATCTTGTTCAATACTATTCTAAGTAGACTCAAAATTAGCGTAGCCGGCTCACTTGATGCCCTGGAGGGCGAAGTAGACGGCGCGGAGGTTGATGATATTGCGCAGATCAGCGAAGGCCTGAGTGGCACTGATGAATCCAGTGGGCGGGTTGGGCACGGCCCAGTAGCGTGGCATCTCGAGCAGCGTGTAGTAAATGTCGTACCGTGGCTGCATGTCAAATGCCTCCACGTACCGCCACAACACCACCCTGAGCTCACCCATGCACACACACACACGCGTTCATGTGGGGGACAGTGAGAGAATGGGGGGGTGTGGCGTGGGCGGATGCGCAGAGAAGACGGTGCCATACGCGTGGTAATGGTAGTGGTAGTGGTAATGGTAATGGTAATGGTAATGGTAGTGGTAATGATAATGGTAGTGGTAATGATAATGGTAGTAGCAATGGTAATGGTAATAGTAATGGTATTGGTAATGGTAATGGTAATGGTAATGGTAATGGTAACGGTAATGGTAATGGTAATGGTAATTGTAATGGTAATGGTAATGGTAATGGTAATGGTAATGGTAGTGGTAATGGTAATGGTAATGGTAATGGAAATGGTAATGGTAATGGTGATAGGAATCGTATTGATAGTGATGATGGTAATGGTAATAGTAGTGGTAATGGTAATAGTAGTGGTATTTTTAGTGGTAGTTGTTATGGTAATGATAATGGCAATGGCATTGGAAATGGTAATGGTAGTGGTAATGGTAATGATAATGATATTATTAACAATACTTGTAGTGATAATTGTAATGATAATGGTAGTGGTAATGGTAATGGTAATGGTAATGATAATGGTAATAGTAATGGTAATGGTGCACTGAATGAGCGATGACAGACAATGAGCACCGGATGCATTGTACGGCAAAGGCTACCACCGATGCAGCTTGGCTGGTTTTCTTACCAGATAACAACCGCAGTCACTTGCAGCGCGATGGAGAGCATGTCGATCCAATTCCAGAAACAACCAAAATAGCTGAGCACTGATCCATCCTTTGCAGAACGGTCGGCCATCTCCTGCAGCTCGCCAGCCACATTCCAGAGCAGCCCCACCAGGTAGATCACCTCCAGCACCAGCCGTGCGATGTTGTCCGCCGATGCATCGTACATCGCCATGGCTGCCGGCTGCGACTTGAAGCTCACTGCCATGCTGCCGCCCGCGTCCAGCGTGCAGGTGATTGTGGTCAGCACGAACGTGAGCGTCTCGCCTGCCAACGTGGGGCGTCAAGGAGGACGGCAGTGAGGGGCGGGCAGTGAGGGTGTCGGAGATACAGCTATACCCTCATCTGCCTTAGTTCTCATGCTCGTCTTCTCCTTAGCTTCTTCTGTTGCCTCAGCCACGCTCTTTATGAAAGTGCTGTAACTCTTACCTCAAAGGTCCTCCCTGAGTGGTGTGCCACCTGTCTGCACTGCTAAGGCAACAACAATCCACTATACGAAAGGATAACAAACGGAAAGCATCAGGTGTGTGTGTGAGAGTGAATTTACCTGGCCCAGGCTCGAACCGTGCATTTCTCAATGTGCGGCTCGAGCCTGGGTTGGTTCGTTCACATTGGTTGCGTGGATTCCACCCCTCGGTGCTCTCCTACCAACCTCGCGACAATTTCCCAGCCCCCCACCTACCTATCCTCGAATCTGCATACAGCACATTACTACACCAGCACTACACCGCAATATTACTGGCACCTTATATGCACAACCGTGCATATTCGGTGACAAGGGGCGGGCAGTGAGGGGCGGGCAGTGAGGGGCAAGTGCACACTGAATGGCGCGGAACACGAACGCATATATTGAGCGGAGGCACGTGCTCAAGGACTAACAGTTGTCACCACAAGGCAAGTACCGCTGAAGGTGATGAAGCTGACATCGATGCTGCGCGTGCCGTTGTCAATGTAGCTGCCATCCACCAAGTACTGCAGACGCCTTGTGGCCGCGTCGTTATCGAGATTAATGTCAAACACCAACGGGTAGGTGGTCAGCGACTCCTGCTAAAGAAAGGGTACAGGACAAGGGGCAAGGGTAAATGAGAGTAGAGCAAGAGCAAGGCAGCAATGCAGCAAGGAAGCAAGCAGCAATGCAGCAAGGCAGCAAGGCAGCAAAGTAGCAAGGCAGCAAGGCAGCAAGGCAACAAGGCAGAAAGGCACCAAGGCAGCAAGACAGCAAGACATGGAAACAGCACTTGAGCAAGAAATGAGTCTTGTGCTTCGCGTGGGACCCGGGATCTAGTCAAGCACTTCCCTGGAGGAGCTCTAAGCAGTGAGAGCATTGGGCAGTGGGTAAAGCATTCGAACACAGAAGGTACGAAGAGAGGGGATGTACGGCAACAGGACAGGAGTGTAAGGATGTGAGACAGAGCCAGGTGGGGAAAGGTAGTGCACACGGGGGGGTGGAGCCCTGAGGAGAGGAGCTAAGGCCTATGGCATCCGACCGATGAGATGACTGATGGTGGGGGAGAGAGAGCGGCGATGGCATGACTGACCATGGGGTAGATGAAGCCGTAGGGGAGGCCCTGAGGGTTGAACTTGAGCTTAAAGCCGAAGGTGTTGTTGTCGAGCTGGCTCAAGTTTTCGCTGGCAGCGCTGTCGTAGATGGCCGATGTGGGCAGGAAGTGCGGGTTGACACCAAAGGGATCCCTGGATGTGCCGTTGCTGCACCACCCCGCCAGGTGCAGCAGGCTGGGAGGGAGGGGAGGGAGCGCAGGGGATTGGGTTGGGGGGTGTGGGGGAGCACAGAGTGTGAGGAAGGGAGGGAGCGCAGTGCAGGCGGCGCTGAGAGAAGGGCACTTGCTGGCAACATCACATGGACGGGATCACGCGCGCAAGCATCGTGAAACCCTCGCACGTCAGAGGCTTGGTGTTGTCGTTGGCTAATGGGGGCTGATGCGACGACGAGCGGCAGGTGGCTTGGGTCAAACGGGTCAAACAAGTCAAACCCGTGGTCACGGGTGCACGGCTGCCAGCCAGCCAGCCCCACATTCACGTCGAGAGACAGGTGCGCAGGAGGGCACGTCGGATCAACCCCGTGCTCACGGTCATGTGAGCCCCACATTCACAGGAGCCACTCACCCCGGCCCGCTGCACTGGTGCGTGCCCACCCGGTCCTGCTGTAGCACCATGCCGATCAGCAGACTAGCATGGAGAAGAAGGGCGAGGGGAGGGGGGATTTGGTAGAGGAGAGTGAGAAACTGACTGTGGTGATGAGCAGAGGGTACGAAGGGCAAACGGAAGCTCACAATACAAAACAGTACTGCTTGGTGTAGCATCCCCCCCAGACAGGATAGATGCCCTTGTTGCGGGTGGGGGTTCACAGTGTAACAAGGGCATGGCAGTCCACATGTGTGGCGCCCAACAGGGCAGGCATGGCAGACAGGGAGGCAGGGAGGCAGGGAGGCAGGGAGGCAGGGAGCGGCATACCGGTTGCGGCGGGACACGTAGCGTGTGGCAGCAATGCTCCTCTCAGCGGCAAAGACATAGTTGCTCTCAGTGTAGTTGGGGCCGTAGCGCTGCAGTGAGAAGGGGAAGTTGAGATCCGTTCCCACCGCCGTCGATAGACAACAGGCTGGGGAAAGAGGGAGGGTGCACAAGAGGGGCGGAAGGGGAGGGTGTGAGGACGGGAGAGAAGTAGCGACGGGAGGTCAAGGAGGCACTGAAAGGAAGTGCAAGTCAGAAAGCGAGTTGGAGTGAAGCAGGAGACAGGGATGGTGGAGCAAGGCAGGCAGCAAGAGGGGCGGGTGGAGGGGAGAAGAGGGATGACTGACAGCCGTCGTCGCGGCGGGTGTGGCTGGGGGGGCAGGGGCAGATGCCGGGGCCAAAGAGCGGGTCGACACACGCGCAGTCGCCACCGTCAAAGGCGCACGCGGGCGTGTTGCACGCCGCATCGCACACCCCGTTCGCCAGCCGCTGCAGCCGACACCCCGGCGAGCATTCATAGGGTGCTGAGGAGGAGGAGGCGGAGGGTGTGGTGGTGTTGGTGCTGTTGGTGGAGGTGACGTGTGCAGTGCCAGAGAGAGTGCTTGTGTCAGTGGCATTCGCAACACCTGCCATGCATGCACGGGAGGGATGAGGAAGAGGAGCGGATGCAGTAGTCGCCCAGGAAGAGGGAACGGTGAGGGTGGAGTGGAAGAGACTAATCAACGGGCGGGAAGGCACGCACAGAAGGAAGTCATGAATGCAGAGAGGCATGCAATATGGCATGAAGCATGGCACGCAGCATGGTATGCGGTATGGAATCGCATGGGGTATGGCATGGCAAGCGGTATGGCATGCAGCATGGTATGTTGCATGGCATGTGGTATGGCATGTGGTATGGCATATGGTATGGCGTATGGTATGGAATGTGGCATGGCATGTTTATGGCAAAGCACGTGGTATGGCATAGCAAGCTCACCAGCAACCTCAGCTCCTGCTCGCGCAGGCAGCACAGTGAGAAGAGACGCAGCAGACGTGGAAGAGGAGTCGTCGAGTGAGAGAGTGCCGTCCTCATAATGAATGGTGATTGGCTCCTCAAACACCTTGCTGTAGGCGAAGGAGCCAGCGGACCCATCGTCTATCTCTGGTTGGAGGAAGGGCGGACCCAGGCGGGAGTGGAGGATAGTGGGGAGGCGGAATGGGGTGTCAGGAAGAATGTAGCAGCCGGGTGAGATGGCACATGAGATGAGACAGGACAGCCGTGTGTGCTTGGGCTAGAAACAATCTCGTCGTCTTGAGACAGGACAGACTCGTCGTTTATCTCTGGTTGGAGGGAAGGAGGAGGGGGGGAGGACCCAGGCGAGAGTGGAGGCCAGTCGAAGGAGGAATGGGGTGTGAGGATGCAGCAGCAGGGTGAGATGGTAGACAAGACAGGACAACATGTGTGCATAAAGACAGCTAAAATGGGATTGGATGCTCCAGGACTGGTCAATCTGGCAGTCTGAACGCACAGTCCTAAAAATTGCTCAGTTCATCTCTCGCTCCCCACTCACTGAGCACACCACCACTCACGGAGCACGCAAGGCATGGGCTCATCAAAGGCGTCCCCATTGCCGACGTTGAGGGGAGTGCATGCCAGCTGGCGCGACACGGCCAGGCGGTGCCCTCCGAAGCCCAGAAACAACGGGTCGTCCCCCTCGCCCATCCCCGCCACTGGCCGTGGTGGCAGTGCAGCACGAGAGCGTTGGGGAACAAGGAGTAGAGTGGGAGCAAAATAGGTAGGAAGATTATGCCAAGGCATCGCAAAGGCACTCGTTTCCTTCAGAGAATCGTAGAAGCATTGGTGCACCAAGGAAGGTGGTAAATTTGCAAGAAACAAAAGGAGTACCCTTGAGGGAGTGCGGGAGGTCGTCATCCCACACCCAGGTGACCTTGTCGCCCACATGGACCGTCGTGTTGTGCGTCACTCCCGCCCGCCATGGCAGCCATGCTCCGCCTGACAGGAGACAGCAATGGGAGGAGGAAACGCCAGCAGTCAAATATCCTTCTGAGGTGCCATGGTGACAGCAACACTCGGACATACATCTCCACATATGTGCACATTGCACATACACCTACACTTACGCATACGCCTACACTTACACATACATGCACACACGCAGATGCAGACGCACATGCACACGCATCCCCCACCACTACCCCCGGCCATTCACACCTTGAGAGCAGCCGACAGCATCGGAGGAGACAACGGCGTCATTGAAGGAGTGCAAGAGCGCGTTGAGCCGCGCCGCTGCCACGTCTGGCACGGGTGTGACGGAGCTCACAGCCGCTGCCACCATCTGCACCCACCGCACCATGTGCTGCGCCGAGATGACGTGGCCGGTATGGCGGAACTTGAGGTAAGCAAACATGTCTGCCATGGTCAGCACCTGCTTCCCGTCCACACCATACATGCGGCACTCATCCATGGTGGTCACAGGCCCACCCAGCATGGTGCACAGGGTGGCCACCACATGCCAGCGCACGCTGCCCCGCCCTCCCAGAGTGTGGGATCGCTTGGAGCCCGGCCCGTGGCCGGCCAGGCAGCGGTCCTTGGCCATGGTGAAGAGGGCTCGTGACACCGCCACCTGCAGCACTGTCAGTCGCTGTTGATCGGTGGCGCCGAGGAGGGACCAGAGGGAGGGCTCTGTGGAGTCTGCTGTGGCTGCTGCTCCTTCCGCTGCCATCACTGCTGCTGCTGTTGCTGTTGCTGCTGCTGTTTGTGCTGACGATGATGGTGATGCTGACGCTGGTGCCACCTCCAATTTCTGTGGTTCCTGCGGCTGTGCTGCTTCGAGTGTTGTGGCGGCAGCAGAGGCGGACGCAGCAGGAGAGTTGACAGCAGGTCCAGCAAGAGGGCGCACTGCCGCTCCAGTGGGCAGGGAGGAGAAGGCGTTGATGGGGCCAGAGGGAGAAGAGGCAGGCCAACGGTCATATCTGTGGGAGTGGCGGAAGCGGTAGAGCGCCTGAGAGCAACCAGCCATGCACCACGGAATGGGGGAGTGGGGGACAGGAAAGAGAGGTAACTGGAGGTGCAACTGGAGGTGCAACTGGAGGTGCAACTGGAGGTGCAACTGGAGGTGCAACTGGAGGTGCAAGCACAGAAGCGAGTAGGGGAGAGTAACAGCGAGAAGTCGGGATCCGCATTTGCAAAGAGGAAACAACACACAGAGAGAGGGACAACAAGTAAATCACACGTAGGGGGGTGGCAAGAAGTGGAAAGACACTCACCTTGCGGCGGCTGCTGTGCGATAAATGAGCTGTTGCTCCTGAGCCTGGGATGGGACGGAGACAGGGGGGGGGATGCATCGAGGGGAGTCGCAGCGTGGGATAAGAAGAGCAGGGAGAGGAATGGAGCACATGTGAGGAATGGAGCACATGTGAGGAGTGGAGCACATGTGAGGAATGGAGCACATGTGAGGAATGGAGCACATGTGAGGAATGGAGCACATGTGAGGAATGGAGCACATGTGAGGAATGGAGCACATGTGAGGAGTGGAGCACATGTGAGGAGTGGAGCACATGTGAGGAGTGGAGCACATGTGAGGAGTGGAGCACATGTGAGGAGTGGAGCACATGTGAGGAGTGGAGCACATGTGAGGAATGGAGCACATGTGAGGAATGGAGCACATGTGAGGAGTGGAGCACATGTGAGGAATGGAGCACATGTGAGGAATGGAGCATATGTGAGGAATGGAGCACATGTGAGGAATGGAGCACATGTGAGGAGTGGAGCACATGTGAGGAGTGGAGCACATGTGAGGAGTGGAGCACATGTGAGGAGTGGAGCACATGTGAGGAGTGGAGCACATGTGAGGAGTGGAGCACATGTGAGGAGTGGAGCACATGTGAGGAATGGAGCACATGTGAGGAGTGGAGCACATGTGAGGAATGGAGCACATGTGAGGAATGGAGCACATGTGAGGAATGGAGCACATGTGAGGAATGGAGCACATGTGAGGAGTGGAGCACATGTGAGGAGTGGAGCACATGTGAGGAGTGGAGCACATGTGAGGAATGGAGCACATGTGAGGAGTGGAGCACATGTGAGGAATGGAGCACATGTGAGGAATGGAGCACATGTGAGGAATGGAGCACATGTGAGGAATGGAGCACATGTGAGGAGGCCGGTGTGTGGCAGAGTGGAAAAAGGCGCAGGAGGGGGAGCAGTGCATGCTGCCTGGCACATGCAGGTAGTGCGTACCTGAGACGTTGCATGGCGTGTTGACAAACAACGACACGATCCCTGGCTGGAGACAATATGCGGAGGGGCGACGGAGGGGGAGTTGTGTGGCAGGAGAGGAACAGGGCTGAAGTGAGCGGGCTGAAGTGAGCAGATGAAGAGCAAGGAGGGCGGAGAGGAGAAACGCCATGGGGGCAGGGGTGTCGTAGCCCGGTGGGGTGCGGCAGAGCAGGTGGCTGTGTGCGGCACGGCAGGTTGCTCCATACAAATATGACTCACAGGGCACAGCATGGGGCAGAGGACGCAGCATGAGGCAGAGGACGCAGCATGAGGCAGAGGACGCAGCATGGGGCAGAGGACGCAGCATGAGGCAGAGGACGCAGCATGGGGCAGAGGACGCAGCATGGGGCAGAGGACGCAGCATGGGGCAGAGGACGCAGCATGGGGCAGAGGACGCAGCATGGGGCAGAGGACGCAGCATGGGGCAGAGGACGCAGCATGGGGCAGAGGACGCAGCATGGGGCAGGGAGCGCACCATGGGGCAGGGAGCGCAGCATGGGGCAGGGAGCGCAGAATGGGGCAGGGAGTGCAGCATGGGGCAATGACGCACCATGGGGCAGGGGGAGTCGACATAGCGGGTGATGGAGGCGGGTGCAACGATGCACATGCGCGCACAGTCCACGAACGCTCCTGCCACCTCCCTCTCTGTGAATGCTCGCCCACAGGTTGCTGGCAGGCAGGCCACCAGCCTCAAACACGTCTGCACACACGCATGAATGCACACACGCACGCACGCATGACCAGAGAGTTGGCATCACGTGATTTTCAAAGCATGCACACACACACTCAGTTCGGAATGACACTAGAAGGAAGCTGAGTGCATTCCACAGCGGAGGCAGGCACGCGGCACAACAGCATACTCACATCACGACAGATGTCAGGCGGAGAACCAACGGCGCCGCCACCTGGCTGCGTCTGATTGGCTGCATCCACGTCATCATCATGCGCACAGGACCCCCACGCAACAAGCTGGACGGTGGAGGCGGCGCCGACGACGGAGAGGCGCTGTGTGCCGGGAGGGGGCGCGTGCACGGTGCCGCGGATGCCCCCCGCGGGCGCGTTGAGCACCACCACCCAGTCGCCGTCCGGAATGTCCAACGCCACCGATACCTCCACATCTCCCACCGGGAATGGCTGGAATGTCTCGTACCTGCTTGCCAAGCATGGGGTGGCGTGGCGTGGGTTAAGGTGGGGTGGGATGGGATGTGATGTGATGGGATGAGTACACAAGACAGGACGACAAGAAAACAGAAAAGAAAAGAAAGAAAGAAAAAAAAACATGCATGCAAGGTGTGTGATGAGAGGGAGAGCGTACCAGCAGAGGGAGACCGGGTCGACCATGCAGAGGTTCCAGGAAGATTCGTCAGCAGCCTGCTGCGTGTCGAGGTGGGAGGAGAATCTGATGACCACGGAGGTGAGATTGGGGAACGTGCCGCAGTCCGCCTGGCAGCCAAAGCGGCCAAACGCGGGGAACTGGAAGGGGCGTTCGCACTCGCCGGTGCCACATGTGGGGTCATTCCATAGGCTCTGCAGGGATGGCACGGGGGAGGGGAGCGGCAGTGAGGAGAGGACCGGCTGACGAGCGTGCGGGCGTTGATGCGGGCAGGAGAGCGCTGTGATGCCGCGTGCGTGGGCAGAGGGCAAGCTTGGGTGGACGGAAAAAGGGGGGACACGACCGCAACAAGTACATGAGGAGCGATAACGGAGAGATGAAAGGGAGGGGAGAGGGAGAGCGCAGCGCACCTGCACGATGCTGGTGTTGAGCCAATTGTAGAAATCATCCGGACCGTTGAAGGTGTTGGACCCGTCTTGACGCATGCCCTGCAGTCAGGCAAGGAGAGAAGCACGGAGAGAGAGACACACGCAGGGGGATGGTGAGGGGAGACGAATGAGTGGAGAGGCGGCGAAGGTGCCATGCAAGGGAACGGCGGTGATGCACAGTATGTTTTTTTTAATTCTAAAAAAAAAATACGCTGCACACAAGAATAGAATGCATGCGCGGTGGAGTTGCGGGCACAGCAGAAGTGGGGATTGTTCAGGTGATTATACGGCGGAGGGGGGCCGGGGGGTTGGGGGATGCGGGAAGCATACAACACAGAGCATGGATCAGCGGAGGAGCGGAAGAGGGTGAGAAACACACGGGGAGGGGGGGAGAGCACGGAGGAGGATAAGGGGAGATCATAAGGCGGGTAGAGCAGGAGCGGGGGGTGAGGGCGGAGCATACCGGGGGGAAGAGCACTGCGTGCGCGGCGGTGATCTCATAGCTTCGGGAGGAGTCGGCCTGGAGGTAGAGGATGGTGATGAAGAGCGCCATGAGCACCACGAACCCGCCCAGGTCGCGGTAGTGCTGCACGCGCTGCTGCAGCTTCATCACTCGCGCGAACGCCTCTGCCACGCGCGCACCAGGAGGAGGGGGGAAGGGGGAAGAGGGGGAGAGGGTGGGGTGGGGCGGGTGGTAGTGGGAAAGGGGTTCTTGAGGAGTTGAGGCGACTGAGAGCAGCGGTGAGAAAAGCGCAACGCCAGGCGGCGAGAGCAGCGGCGAGATAACGGTGCGGCAGAGAATTGCGAGAAAGAGGCGTGGACGCGGGGGCGCGTGTCAATCCCGCATCCCCAGCCCAGCAGTGAAGCACCGCTCTGAACCAGGCCGCACCTTGCAGCACCTCTCCGTCCATCTCGTCCATCTCCGCGTCCTGCAGAACGCCCCTCGCCGACCGCGCCAAGCTCGCCCCCTCCGCCAGGCCCTTCAACGAGCCCACGCCCATGCTGCTCCGCGTCATGGTCTCCCCCGTCGCATCCTCCGTCAAGCTGCGCTTCAGCGGTCCCCCCGCCGCGGTCGCCTTCCCCTCTCCGCCCTCCCCGCCCTCCGCGCCATCCGTTCCATTCGCGCAGTCGGCGCTCGTGCTGCCCCGCAGCCGCTTCTCGTCGTCATCCGCCCTGCTCTGGTGACTGCTGTTGCCGCTGCTGTTGCCACTGCTGTTGCCGCCGCTGTTGCCGCTGCTGTTTCCGCTGCTGTCCCGCGCTCCCTCACTCCCCGCGAACTCTCCGCCGGCTCTCCCTTCCTCCGCCAGCCTCTCCGCTCCGCTCTCCGCGCGGATCCCCCCGTAAGCCTCATCCCCGCCGTATCCTTGCCCGTCCTCGTCTTGGTCGACGGGGATGGACGGATTGAGCGACGAGCTTGACGCGAGACGCGCCAAGAGCTCCTGATTCTGCGGCGTGACCCTGCCGTCGCTATCGAGGAAATCTAGGTTGTGCGTCTTGACGCTACGAGGCCCCGAAGGCTTACGACTTGGAAGCGAGGACGAAAATGGAAGAATTTCAGCATGGGCGGAACGGAAAAGAATCTGGATTAGCAAGTTAACTTAGGACTACACGTGATTTGCTAAGAAACAAACAGCAATCAGAAAGCCGATTTGGAAGCAATCATTGACGTTATGGAAGCAAGCATTGACGGTAAGGAGCAAGCAAGCACGGAGGTTGACGGTCGGCTCACCGGGATGGAATGTTGGACTTGGACCGCATCCACATGCGGTAGTTAGCCGCCTCGTACGCCTCGAAATTATCGTCCAGCAAACTCTTCGATCGCGACAGCGATGCCTCGCCAACCTCCCCCTCCTCCGCCTTCTTCTTCGCGCGCAGCACCGCGGCAGCCTCCGCCATTGCCGCTACTAGTGAGAGACGAGATCCAGGAGCGGCTGGAAATGGCTCCTAATAACGAAAGATGCGTAGTACTTTTTATTCGCTAATGTAGTCTCTTTCAAGCAGCGGTGCATCTTGTTAAGGAAGCACAGAAGCTAGGAGAAAGTGAAGGAGTTTCCACTGCATGCGCTCCCTGCTGCCTACACAGTAAGGTGTGTCGTGTTGCACCTCAGGTTGTGCTCTACTGCACTTGCCTAGTCGTGTCGAGGGTAGTGTGGGTGGGAGAGGACAAAAGTGAGTCACAACAACAATATGTTTGTAACGTGGTTCGAGGCGATAATGTTATGCCTTAATTCGGTTGGATTTGGCGATAACATCAAGCATGGCTGATGCTTGCGATGTGATGCGACACACCATTCGGTGATCCTCGGAAACTCCAAAACTACTGTAGTTATGAACAGTAAAACCAGACCGCCTGACACGCTGTGCATACGCAGACACTACGGATTTGCTAAGGTCGTGTCCGTAGGGATGACATGTCAAGCTTTTGAGTGTCAACTTGTGATTTTGACACTTGCCAACATTGTTGGCAGAGTGTCAACGACACCAAACTGCCAGCCTGTAAATTTCGTCGGACTTCCAGCTCTGCGAAAATGAAGGAACTAACCAACCAACCACATTGATGGCATCGAGATTTCCGACGACCACACCTGCCTAATCGACGGATGCTGAACTTCGTGCGACTGCAAGTTCGTGCAAGGGGTCGCCTGTGTACTCAAACTCGTGCCCAACCAATAAGCTTCCGTCGCAGGGTTTCTTGCTGCGCTTCGATTTGACACTGAAGATTCAGTTCTTGACACTCTAATTCCTCGCGCTTTGGGTTGACACTGCCAATGTTGACATGTCATCCCTACGGACACGAACTAACACGTTTTGGCACGTCAGTGGTGCTTTCAGTCAGCACACACATTACAGAACAGAACCTTTGATTGGCAGCTCTTGTACTTGTTTTGTTATACCACTTCTTTTTTCGTGAAAGCTTTTCAAATCATATACATTGTGACTTACATTGTGCAACAGAGAAAACCACTCAAGCATTATAATTGTTCTCTGTGTTTCTATAACTTTCAAAGGTCCCTAGGGTTCCAACCAAAGGCTGTCGCCATGACCCCTCTCTGTTCACACCGCTCGCACCACCGTCACCGCCCTCCTCCGCCTCGTCTTGAAACACAACCCGTCTCCCCGACCCTCGTCTCGGCGATGGAGATCGGCTGCTGCTCACTCTCCCACTCGCACTCGCACTTGCACGACCGGACCCTCCTCTCGCATTCCCATCAATTGTTGCTCCTTCACTCACACCCATCCCACCCTCCTCCCTCCCCAGCTCCTCACCCTCCTCTTCCACTTGCTGCTCTTTCAGACACGGCTGCACCAGTGGCCGCGGCCCCGGCAGGGATGACCCCGAGGGTGGAATTGGAATTGGAGGCTGGGCGCGCAGAGAGGGGAGGGCGCGGTGGAGTAGAGCCATCATGGCGCGCATGTCGCTCTGCAGGTCTGCTATCATGCCCCTCATCTCCTCCGCTGTCTCGTGGCCGCGCACCACCTCCTCCTGCTCACACACGCCCTCACACAGCATGCGGGAGAAGGAGGATTCATGACTCCCGGATGCTTTCTCACTCCGTCAGAACAGTTGGGCAGCATGAGCAATACCTCGCGGTAGGACTAGCACATTCCCCCTCCCTCACTTGCATCCACCCACATCCATCCTCACCTTTATCCACCCTTCTCCTCCCCACCCCCCCCACGCACACACGCACCTGCACGTGGGCGAGGCTGAGCTTCTGCACGGGCGGCTTCTTGACGGGCAGGGCGGCCTGCTTCACCACCTCGCCGCACTGCAGCACCACCGCCTGCGACAGCTGCTCCAGCTGCTCCTCGTCCGCGGTCCAGGGGGCAGGCCCCCACATGGCGCCACTCCCACATGAGGACGGGGAGAAAAAAGCCGCCCTGGCTGACATGGCAGCGGCTGATTTGCGGGCCTTCTTTGCCTGGAGAAGAGCGAGGGGAGAGGGAGAGGTGATGGGGGGAAAGGAGGAAGGAGGGAATGGTGGGGAGAGTGGAGGGAGGGTTGGAAAGCTGATTGTGCTTGAGAGTCACACCAAGAAGAGATGCAGAGCGATGCAGAGGCAAAAACAAGCAGAAACTGGATATTGGGCAAAATAGGAAGAGTGGCACTTCTCATAACACTACCCACATCAGTTGTCACAACAAGCATGGCAAGAAGGCATTCACAGCAAGCATGCCAACAGGCATTGCAACAAGTATGGCAGCAAGGACGCACCACCGCCCTGTCGTGGCGGCGCTGCAGGATCATGGCGAGCGAGATGGCGTCGATGCGCTTCTCCCTCACTGTCAGCACGTGCTGCCGCCGCACCCAAGAGTCGCTGACGGCGGAGGGGAAGGCGGGTTGGTTCTCTGACCGGGCCAAGTGCGCTGGTTTGTCGGCGCTGCCTCGCGTGCCGGAAAGCATGGAGCCTACCCCCCGTTGGATGGACTTGAAGCGGCGAATCCGAGGGTTCTCCTGAAGCCAAAGGCCGTGCGGGGAGTGGCGTGAGTGAGAGATGGCGGTTAGGGGTCGTGGCAACGGTGGCTGTTGCAGGATGACCAAGGCATCTCAACAACCAGTTGGTAAACAACCAAACAATCAAACACTTTCACTTCACTGACGTCCTAAGAACCATACTACGCACTCACCTCTTTAATGCGGGTATCCTTGGCCCCCAGATCCACAAGGCGGTCGAGAATGAGACGGTACGGCAGGTAGCGACCGCGCCAGCAGTTCCACTTGTACTTGATGATGTGTGCCAGGTCAGTAGCTATAGAAGTAGCAACCACGTTGCTGTCCTTGACGCTCATGAAGGCATCGACAATGATGGCGATGAGGAAGTTGAGGAGGATGAAGACCATGAAGACAATGAACATGAAGAAGAAAAGCATCGCAGCGATGAGGTCCCACGACTCCAGGCGCTGCAAGAAGTAGGCGGAGCCGTTGTCGTTGATGAGCAGCAGGAACAACGAGAACATGGACTCCAGGACCGTAGAGAACTGCATAGGGTGGGGGTGGGGTGGAAAGGAATGGTTTTTGGGACAATGGAGAAGACACACAAGGTTGGGCAACAGGAGGGGAGGCATGGTGGACGTAGCGGAAAAAACAGGTTGAAACAAAAATGGTAGTGCAGACTGCAAAAGTATATGAGCCATGTGCTATGTGCTTGGTTTTGTTCTGCTTTGTTCGGTCTTGCTTTCTGATTTTTTTTTTTTTTTTTTTTTTTTTTTTTTTTTTGGCTCCAATCCACTCACAGTGCGTACTTGGTGCTCACTTGGACATAATTTAGACTGCAAGGACATGAGCCCCACACATACCAAAGCCCCACACTTACCATCTCGATAGCGCCTCCGAAGACGAGGTAGGCGTACATGCTGAAGCAGAAGACGGTAAAGGAGAGCAGGAAGAAGTGCAGCAGCGATGGTGTGGCGAGGCTGAGGGAGCGCGTGATGACGCCCAGGTAAGGCTGGAAGTCCATGAATTTGAGTAGACGAATCATCATGAAGAAGACACTGGGGGGATGGGGGGGTGGGGAAGAGGGAGAAGGGAAGGATGTTAAATATAGGATGTCAGCAAACTGAACGAAACCTGTGTGACAGGAATAGTTGCACCTCCGACCGGCCTGTGCTCAGCCTTAGGCCCAACCAGTTCAGGTTCGACTTTTGCTCAATCTGGGAAGCCGTAGAGACAGTGAAAATGGCTCACTTATCGTTCTGACAAGCAAGGTAGCGCAATTGAAACCCTGCAGGGCACGGCGGCTCACTTGTTGCTCTGAGGGCAAGGCGGCTCACTTGTTGCTCAGAGGGGCAAGGCGGCTCACTTGTTGCTCTGAGGGGCAAGGCGGCTCACTTGTTGCTCTGAGGGGCAAGGCGGCTCACTTGTTGCTCTGAGGGGCAAGGCGGCTCACTTGTTGCTCTGAGGGGCAAGGCGGCTCACTTGTTGCTCTGAGGGGCAAGGCGGCTCACTTGTTGCTCTGAGGGGCAAGGCGGCTCACTTGATGCTCTGAGGGGCAAGGCGGCTCACTTGTTGCTCTGAGGGGCAAGGCGGCTCACTTGATGCTCTGAGGGGCAAGGCGGCTCACTTGTTGCTCTGAGGGGCAAGGCGGCTCACTTGATGCCCTGGAGGGCGAAGTAGACGGCGCGGAGGTTGATGATGTTGCGCAGATCAGTGAAGGCCTGACCGGCGCTGATGAATCCCGTAGGCGGGTTGGGCAAGGCCCAATAGCGCGGCATCTCGAGCAGCGTGTAATAGATGTCGTACCGTGGCTCTATGTCAAATGCGCTCACGTACCGCCATAGAACCACCCTGCCCACACCCATGCACACACACAAGTGGAGGATGGTGAGCGAGGCGGATGAGCAGGGAAACATGGCCAGATGAGGTAATTTGTTAGACTGCATGTCAAACGCGCTCAAGGAGCGCCATAGCACCATCGTGACCACAGCGACACACACGCACGCGCATGTGGAAGGAAGTGAGAGAATGTGGGCATGTGGGGAGGGGCGGATGAGCAGCCAGGCAAGGCCAGATGAGGCTTTTTTTATCACCTCACAAAAACAGCCCGCATGAAGAGCAAACGTAATGGAACGCCGCTGCTGTCTCACCAGAGGACAACGGCGATCGCTTGCAGCGCGAGGGAAAACATGTGGACCCAGTTCCATGCTTGCTCAAAGTAGCTGAGCACAGATCCATCCGTGGCAGCGCGGTCAGCCATCTCCTGCAGCTCGCCACACACATTCCAGAGCAGCCCCACCACATACACCATCTCCAGCACCAGCCGTGCGATGTTGTCCGATGATGCATCGTACATCGCCATGGCTGCCGGCTGTGACTTGAAGCTCACTGCCATGCTGCCTCCCGCGTTCACCGTGCAGGTCACAGTGGTCAGCACCAACGTGAGCGTCTCGCCTGCGACGGGGGGCGCCAAGGAGGGAAGTATTGAGAGGCGTGCAGTGAGAGGCATACGGGTGCACACTGAATGACGAGAGACACGAATGCATGTGCTGAGTGGATGCGTGTGTCTGAGGGCCGTTGTTACCACTTGGTCATTTCATTACCGTTGAAGGTTATGAAGCTGACGTCTACACTGCGCGTGCCATTGTCAATGTAGCTGCCACCCACCAGGTACTGTAGACGCCTTGTGGCCGCCTCGTTATCGAGATCAATGTCAAACACCAAAGGGTACGTGATCAGCGACTCCTGCTAAAGAATGGGTAAAGGTGAACAATTTTTTCAGGTAGGATTCATCGGCTGTTCGCGCTTACATTATTACATTTACCATGACAACAAAACACCAGAGAGTAAGACAGCAAGGCAGCAAGACAGCAAGTCAGAATGGCAGTAACACAGCACTGCAGCAAGACAGCATGGCAGCAAGGTAGCAAGGCAGCAAAGTATGGAGCACAACACAAGGGATGAGTTGTCTTCTTCACTTGCAACCTGGGATCCACTCAAGCACTTCTTGCACTAGCAGTGCAAGGCAGAGTTACTCACCATGGGGCAGATGAAGTGGCCATGCCATGACTCACCATGGGGCAGATGAAGTGGCCATGCCATGACTCACCATCGGGCAGATGAAGTGGCCATGCCATGACTCACCATGGGGCAGATGAAGTGGCCATGCCATGACTCACCATGGGGCAGATGAAGTGGCCATGCCATGACTCACCATGGGGCAGATGAAGTGGCCATGCCATGACTCACCATGGGGCAGATGAAGTGGCCATGCAATGACTCACCATGGGGCAGATGAAGTGGCCATGCCATGACTCACCATGGGGCAGATGAAGTGGCCATGCCATGACTCACCATGGGGCAGATGAAGTGGCCATGCCATGACTCACCATGGGGCAGAGCAGATGAAGTGGCCATGCCATGACTCACCACGGGGTAGATGAAGCCGTAGGGGAGGCCTTGAGGATTGAACTGCAGTTTAAAGCCAAAGGTGCTGTTGTCAAGTTGGGTGATGTTGGCGCTGGCAGCGCTGTCGTAGATGGCCGATGTGGGCAGGAAGTGCGGGTTCACTCCAAACGGCTCTGTGGACGTGCCGTTGCTGCACCACCCCGCCAGGTGATGCAGGCTGGGGAGAGAGGGGAGGGAGCGCAGGGGATTGGGGGCTTTGGGGGTTTGGGAGAAGGAAGAGTGTGAGGAACGGAGGGAGCGAAGTGCAGGCAGTTTTGGGAGAAGGTAAATTGGTGGCAAGATCACATCGACGGGATGAGGAGAGCAACGTGAACCCTCGCATGTCAGAGAAGGCATGAGCAGCAGTCAAAAGACGGGGCCCGGCTCGTAGGCTCGGCTCGACTGGCGGCTCATCAAGGAGGCGCGATCCAGCGCAAAGGCTCGGTATTGCCCTTGGCTCGTGGAAGCTGATCCGACGAGCGGCAGGCAGCTGGTTTGGTTCAAACCAAACCCTTGCTCACGGCCACGGTCACGAGCGGCCCACATTCACGAGAGGCACTCACCCCGGTCCACTGCACTGCTGCGTGCCCACCCACTCCTGCTGCAGCACCATGCCGATCAGCAGACTGTCGCGGAGAGGAAGGGAAGGGAGGGGGGGATAAGGCAGAGGAGAGTGAGAAGGTGTCTGTGGTGGTGAGTGGAGGTTTGATGGGCAACCGGAATTTCAGAGAACAAGATGGTACTGCTTGCCATAGCACCTGCCTTCTGGTTGCAGGTGCTGTGCTGCGTGTGGGGGTTGATTGACAGCGTAACAAGGGCATGGCAATGCACAAGTGTGGCGCCCAACAGGGCAGGCATGGCACGCAGGCGGCAGGCAGGGAGGCATGGCAGGCAGGGAGGCATGGCAGGCAGGGAGGCATGGCAGGCAGGGAGGCATGGCAGGTAGGCAGGCACGGGAGGGAGGCATGGCAGGCTTGGCAGGCAGGCACGGGGCTCATACCGATTGCGGCGAGACACGTAGCGTGTGGCAGCAATGCTCCTCTCGGCCGCAAATGCGTAGTTGCTCTCTGTGTAGTTGCTCTCCGTGTAGTTGCTCTCCGTGTAGTTGCTCTCCGTGTAGTTGCTCTCCGTGTAGTTGCTCTCCGTGTAGTTGCTCTCCGTGTAGTTGGGGCCGTGGCGCTGCAGTGAGAAGGGGAAGTTGAGATTTGCGCCCACCGCCGTGGATAGACAACACGCTGGGGAAGGGGGAGGGAGGACGGGGAGGGGAGGAAGGGCAGGTTGTGAGGAAGAGAGAGCAGCAGGGACGGAAGGTCATGAAGGCACAGAAAGGAAGTGCAAGTCAGAAAGCGAGAAGGAATGCAGCGAGGACGGGAGGGGAAGTAGGGGTGGAAGTAGGGATGGAAGTAGGGATGGAAGTAGGGATGGAAGTAGGGGTGGAAGTAGGGATGGAAGTAGGGGTGGAAGTAGGGATGGAAGTAGGGATGGCAGTAGGGATGGAAGTAGGGATGGAAGTAGGGGTGGAAGTAGGGATGGAAGTAGGGGTGGAAGTAGGGAGGGAAGTAGGGATGGAAGTAGGGATGGAAGTAGGGATGGAAGTAGGGATGGAAGTAGGGATGGAATTAGGGATGGAAGTAGGGATGGAAGTAGGGGTGGAAGTAGGGATGGAAGTAGGGGTGGAAGTAGGAAGGAAGGGGCAAGACGAGAACGACACGTTCGAATTGGTGGAGCTACCGGAGGGGCGTACGGCGATTACGTCCAAGTGGCTCTTCAAGATCAAGTCCGACGCCGACGGAAAGATCGAGCGCTACAAGTCTAGGCTGGTGGCCAAGGGGTACCAGCAGAAGGAGAATGTGGACTACAAGGAGCTGTTTGCTCCTATGGTGAAGCCGACGACGCTGCGAACCCTACTCGCGGGAGCCGCGATCAAAGGATGGGTGGTGAAGCAGCTAGACATCGTCACGGCGTTCCTCAACGGAATCCTCGAGGAGGAGATTTTTATGGCGCAGCCAGAGGGGTTTGACGATGGCAGCGGGAGAGTGTGGAAGCTGAAGAAGGCCCTCTATGGGCTGAAGCAGGCCCCTAGGCAGTGGTACTTGAAGCTGCGCGAAGTGTTGGAGGAGATCGGCTTCACTCCCTCAACGGCCGATCATTCCTTGTTCATGCTTGGCGAGGGGGAGCAGAGGAGCTTCATGGTGGTCTACGTGGACGACATCCTCATCTTCTCGCCCTCCTCTGACCTTGTGAAGGAGGTGATGCTGAAGCTGCAAGACAAGTTCAAGTGCAAGTCCCTTGGGGACGTGAACTTCTACCTCGGGCTCCACATCGAACGAGACGTGGAGAAGCGGTGCACCAACGGAAGTACCTAGAGGCATTGGCTGCCAACTTTGGGCAGAATGAAGGCCATGTGGCTACACCCTTCCCCTCTGGGTTCAAGTGTGTGAAGGGACCAGAGGAGGAGAGCGTGGGTGAAGAGGAGAGGCGCCGATTTCACTCGTTGGTGGGCAGCCTCATGTATGCGGCGGTCAACACACGACCGGACGTCGCGTTTGCTACCGGGCAGCTGGCAAGGGTTGTGCAATGCCCTAATGAGGAGCAGGTAGCAGCTGGAATGAGGGTGGCCAAGTACCTTGGCCAAACACCGACTGTTGGGCTGCAATACTCGGCAGCGGCACAAAGGCGCCAAAAGGGCGCGGATGGTGTGGAACCCGGGCGTTTGTTCCTCACCGCATTCTCGGATGCCTCCTATGCATTAGAACTAGAGGACATGACAAGTGTTGGAGGGTTCATTTGCTGTGTTGGTGGAGGCCCAACTGCTTGGGAGAGCAAGAAGCAAGTTGACCAAGCATTGAGCTCGGTGGAGTCCGAGTACATGGCACTCTTCCGTGCCGTACGGGAGATTGTGTGGCAGCGGCGTTTGCTGGCTGAATTGGGGGAGGAGCAGCAAGGACCTACCCCACTCTACTGTGACAGCCAGGGAGCCATTGCTCTAGCCAAGAACCCCGTGTTGCATGGCCTGACAAAGCACATGAGGGTGAAGTGGCATTGGACGAGGAGCATGGTGGCCGCGGGTGAAGTTGAGCTGCGCTACGTGAAGACGACGGGGCAGCCGGCAGACATGATGACTAAGAGGCTGGTGGAGCAGCAGCACTGGAAGTGTTGCAAGCTGGCTGGGATGGCTCTGAACTGAGAGAGCAAGTTCCTAAGGCCAACAACCCGAGGGGGAGTTTGTTGGTGCAACCCTACGATTTGGACTCGGCTTGTTGTCCGTGTGCGTGTGCGTGCATGCGTGTGTGCATGGAGTGGTATGAGTGCATGAAATAAATATATATTTCATGCTTATAATGGTGTGTGAATGATGGGTCATGATGTCGAGTGTGTGTGTCGTGTTAATAGCGAGTTATCGCTAGCCGCGTGTAACGCGGTCATTTTGTGTGTCCCGCGCGGGTTCTATTTTGTCGTGCACGTTTTTTCTGTTTTGTCGCTTGTCGAACGTTCGGCGTGTCGCAGGTGTGTGCAGCAGACCCATCAAGAACTCAAGGATGAGTTTTGTGATGAAGAACCCGAGCCTTGGTTCAAGCTTCAAGTGTTTTCGAAGCTCACCAAAAGGCTACACCTCAAGATATTGAAGATAGTTACATTACAAAGTGTAGTGTAACATTCCAGTTGGTGTAGGCCCTTGTGAAGGGTAGTTTCGAGACCCTTCTTGGTTGGGGACAGTGTGGCACTGTTCCCCATCACTGTACCTCGGCTCTTGGGGTTTGTAGGAGCTGGGAGTCCTTCCCAACTCGTAACTCTTCCTAGCTGTTCGTAATTGTGTCTTCTAAGACTATGTTGCTGCCATAGTGTCGTTCGTTCAAACTGACGCTGTGTCGTCAATTCTTCATGAAATCGTGCGATCTAAATTGCCTATTGTAGGCGACGTTAAGACGCTCCAGATCCAAGTTGAATGAGGTCATTTGGAGCTGTGACCAGGTCGCTATGAACGTTTAAAGCCGCAATGCAGAAATCTGACTGCGCACTCTATCTTTGGTTCTAGGCACATTGAAGCCTACTGTGATTATAACACAAGCAACGAACACGACTCTTGCCTCTGCACGGCGACGCCTACGACTCACTTGACAGCCCCGCGGCAAGCACCCCCTGGCACGTACCGTGGTCCCTTGGCTGCTCTTCCACTCCTGCGCCACGCCCTCACTTGAGGCGTGCTGCTCCAGGCGTGGTGCTCCTGGTGTACTAGTTGGTCCGGAATCGCAACTCCTTGCGTGCTGGCCTGCCCATCATCCTGACCAGGGAGGGAGGAGCAAGACGAAGAGGTCATGATATCTGCATACAGTAAAACGATAGGAGTGGAAAGGTTTGGGAGCTGAGAGGAGTGCCATGAAGATCTGGCAAGACACCATTAGAGGAATGTGGGCATGATGCGGAGATGGTAGACATGACCCAAGTGCACACGAGAACGCAAGAACACAGAGAATGGAGAAGCGGTGTACTGGCTGGGCTGATGGACTCACAACTCCTTGTGTGCTGGCCATCATGCCGCAGCTGTTGCAGCCTCTGGTGATCCCTGCGTTGCTGCAGACTGGTGGTAATCACAGCCCATCGAGTGCTGGAGGTGAGGCAAGGAAGGAAGGCAGGAAGAGGAAGCGAGGCCTGAGCAAGAAGAGGACAAGCGAGTGGATGAGTGGAAAAGCGAGCAGAAGCGAGCAGACCTGATGGGGAACCTGATGGGGAACCTGATGGGGAACCTGATGGGGAACCTGATGGGGAACCTGATGGCGAACCTGATGGCGAACCTGATGGGGAACCTGATGGGGAACCTGATGGGGAACCTGATGGGGAACCTGATGGCGAACCTGATGGCGAACCTGATGGCGAACCTGATGGGGAACCTGATGGCGAACCTGATGGCGAACCTGATGGCGAACCTGATGGGGAACCTGATGGCGAACCTGATGGGGAACCTGATGGCGAACCTGATGGCGAACCTGATGGCGAACCTGATGGGGAACCTGATGGGGAACCTGATGGCGAACCTGATGGGGAACCTGATGGCGAACCTGATGGCGAACCTGATGGGGAACCTGATGGCGAACCTGATGGGGAACCTGATGGGGAACCTGATGGGGAACTCTATGGGGAACCTGATGGGGAACCTGATGGGGAACCTGATGGGGAACCTGATGGGGAACTCTATGGGGAACCTGATGGGGAACCTGATGGGGAACCTGATGGGGAACCTGATGGGGAACCTGATGGCGAACCTGATGGCGAACCTGATGGCGAACCTGATGGGGAACCTGATGGCGAACCTGATGGCGAACCTGATGGCGAACCTGATGGGGAACCTGATGGCGAACCTGATGGGGAACCTGATGGCGAACCTGATGGCGAACCTGATGGCGAACCTGATGGGGAACCTGATGGGGAACCTGATGGCGAACCTGATGGGGAACCTGATGGCGAACCTGATGGCGAACCTGATGGGGAACCTGATGGGGAACCTGATGGGGAACTCTATGGGGAACCTGATGGCGAACCTGATGGGGAACCTGATGGGGAACCTGATGGGGAACCTGATGGCGAACCTGATGGCGAACCTGATGGCGAACCTGATGGGGAACCTGATGGGGAACCTGATGGGGAACCTGATGGCGAACCTGATGGCGAACCTGATGGGGAACCTGATGGGGAACCTGATGGGGGGGGGGGGGAATCCTGATGGCGAACCTGATGGGGGGGGCGAACCTGATGGGGAACCTGATGGGGAACCTGATGGGGAACCTGATGGCGAACCTGATGGCGAACCTGATGGCGAACCTGATGGCGAACCTGATGGCGAACCTGATGGCGAACCTGATGGGGAACCTGATGGCGAACCTGATGGGGAACCTGATGGGGACCCTGTTGGCGAACCTGATGGCGAACCTGATGGCGAACCTGATGGCGAACCTGATGGCGAACCTGATGGGGAACCTGATGGCGAACCTGATGGGGAACCTGATGGGGAACCTGATGGGGAACCTGATGGGGAACCTGATGGGGAACCTGATGGCGAACCTGATGGCGAACCTGATGGCGAACCTGATGGCGAACCTGATGGCGAACCTGATGGCGAACCTGATGGGGAACCTGATGGGGAACCTGATGGGGAACCTGATGGGGAACCTGATGGCGAACCTGATGGCGAACCTGATGGGGAACCTGATGGCGAACCTGATGGCGAACCTGATGGGGAACCTGATGGGGAACCTGATGGGGAACCTGATGGGGAACCTGATGGGGAACCTGATGGGGAACCTGATGGGGAACCTGATGGGGAACCTGATGGGGAACCTGATGGCGAACCTGATGGCGAACCTGATGGGGAACCTGATGGCGAACCTGATGGGGAACCTGATGGCGAACCTGATGGCGAACCTGATGGCGAACCTGATGGCGAACCTGATGGCGAACCTGATGGCGAACCTGATGGCGAACCTGATGGGGAACCTGATGGGGAACCTGATGGGGAACCTGATGGCGAACCTGATGGCGAACCTGATGGGGAACCTGATGGGGAACCTGATGGCGAACCTGATGGGGAACCTGATGGGGAACCTGATGGGGAACCTGATGGCGAACCTGATGGGGAACCTGATGGGGAACCTGATGGCGAACCTGATGGGGAACCTGATGGGGAACCTGATGGCGAACCTGATGGCGAACCTGATGGCGAACCTGATGGCGAACCTGATGGGGAACCTGATGGGGAACCTGATGGCGAACCTGATGGCGAACCTGATGGCGAACCTGATGGCGAACCTGATGGCGAACCTGATGGGGAACCTGATGGGGAACCTGATGGCGAACCTGATGGCGAACCTGATGGCGAACCTGATGGCGAACCTGATGGCGAACCTGCACGCCCCCACCCCGTCCATCTCGCAGGACGGGAGGCACACACAGGGATGGGGAGAGAGAGACAATCACACAAACACGGCACAACAAGGGAGGGTTAGAAGCAGCAGGAGGCGAGTGGCGGAAGCAAGGGCAACAGACACGACTCTTGCCTCTGCGCGGCGACACCCTACGCCTCAATTCACGGCCCCCCTGCAAGCACCCCCTGGCACGTACCACGATCCGTCCGCTGCTCTCCCAGTTTTGCGCCACGCCTTCACTTGAGGCGTCCCTGTGCTGCCATTGCTCTCCGTTTAGCAGGCCACGAGGCACACACACGCACATGGGGCGAGAGAGACACACACACATGGGGAGAGAGAGACACACACACATGGGGAGAGAGAGAGACACACACACACGGGGAGAGAGACACACACATACACGGGGAGAGAGAGAGACTCACACACATGGGGAGACAGAGACACACACAAACGGGGAGAGAGAGACACACACAGAAGTAGCGAAATAAAGGAGGGTTAGAAGCAGCAGGTGGCGAGTGGTGGACCCGCAAGAAACAGACACGAATCTTGCCTCTGCACGGCGACGCCTACGACTCACTTGACAGCCCCGCGGCAAGCACCCCCTGGCACGTACCGTGGTCCCTTGGCTGCTCTTCCACTCCTGCGCCACGCCCTCACTTGAGGCGTGCTGCTCCAGGCGTGGTGCTCCTGGTGTACTGGTTGGTCTGGAATCGCAACTCCTTGCGTGCTGGCCTGCCCATCATCCTGGCCAGGGAGGGAGGAGCAAGACGAAGAGGTCATGATATCTGCATACAGTAACGATAGGAGTGGAAAGGTTTGGGAGCTGAGAGGAGTGCCATGAAGATCTGGCAAGACACCATTAGAGGAATGTGGGCATGATGCGGAGATGGTAGACATGACCCAAGTGCACACGATAACGCAAGAACACAGAGAATGGAGAAGCGGTGTACTGGCTGGGCTGATGGACTCACAACTCCTTGTGTGCTGGACATCATGCCGCAGCTGTTGCAGCCACTGGTGATCCCTGTGTTGCTGCAGCCACTGGTGGTGATCACAGCCCATCGAGTGCTGGAGGTGAGGCAAGGAAGGAAGGCAGGAAGACGAAGCGAGGCCTGAGCAAGAAGAGGACAAGCGAGTGGATGAGTGGACAAGCGAGAAGAAGCGCGCAGACCTGACGGGGAACCTGATGGGGAACCTGATGGGGAACCTGATGGGGAACCTGATGGCGAACCTGATGGCGAACCTGATGGCGAACCTGATGGCGAACCTGATGGGGAACCTGATGGCGAACCTGATGGCGAACCTGATGGCGAACCTGATGGGGAACCTGATGGCGAACCTGATGGCGAACCTGATGGGGAACCTGATGGGGAACCTGATGGGGAACCTGATGGGGAACCTGATGGGGAACCTGATGGGGAACCTGATGGCGAACCTGATGGCGAACCTGATGGCGAACCTGATGGCGAACCTGATGGCGAACCTGATGGGGAACCTGATGGGGAACCTGATGGGGAACCTGATGGGGAACCTGATGGGGAACCTGATGGGGAACCTGATGGGGAACCTGATGGGGAACCTGATGGGGAACCTGATGGGGAACCTGATGGGGAACCTGATGGCGAACCTGATGGCGAACCTGATGGCGAACCTGATGGCGAACCTGATGGGGAACCTGATGGGGAACCTGATGGGGAACCTGATGGGGAACCTGATGGGGAACCTGATGGGGAACCTGATGGGGAACCTGATGGGGAACCTGATGGGGAACCTGATGGCGAACCTGATGGCGAACCTGATGGGGGGGGGACCTGATGGGGAACCTGATGGGGAACCTGATGGGGAACCTGATGGGGAACCTGATGGCGAACCTGATGGCGAACCTGATGGCGAACCTGATGGCGAACCTGATGGCGAACCTGATGGGGAACCTGATGGCGAACCTGATGGCGAACCTGATGGCGAACCTGATGGGGAACCTGATGGGGAACCTGATGGGGAACCTGATGGGGAACCTGATGGGGAACCTGATGGGGAACCTGATGGCGAACCTGATGGGGAACCTGATGGCGAACCTGATGGCGAACCTGATGGCGAACCTGATGGGGAACCTGATGGGGAACCTGATGGGGAACCTGATGGGGAACCTGATGGCGAACCTGATGGCGAACCTGATGGGGGGGCGACCTGATGGGGAACCTGATGGGGAACCTGATGGGGAACCTGATGGGGAACCTGATGGGGAACCTGATGGGGAACCTGATGGCGAACCTGATGGCGAACCTGATGGCGAACCTGATGGCGAACCTGATGGGGAACCTGATGGGGAACCTGATGGCGAACCTGATGGGGAACCTGATGGCGAACCTGATGGCGAACCTGATGGCGAACCTGATGGCGAACCTGATGGCGAACCTGATGGCGAACCTGATGGGGAACCTGATGGGGAACCTGATGGCGAACCTGATGGGGAACCTGATGGCGAACCTGTTTGAGAACCTGATGGGGAACCTGATGGGGAACCTGATGGCGAACCTGATGGGGAACCTGATGGCGAACCTGATGGGGAACCTGATGGCGAACCTGATGGGGAACCTGATGGCGAACCTGATGGCGAACCTGATGGGGAACCTGATGGGGAACCTGATGGGGAACCTGATGGGGAACCTGATGGGGAACCTGATGGGGAACCTGATGGGGAACCTGATGGCGAACCTGATGGCGAACCTGATGGCGAACCTGATGGCGAACCTGATGGCGAACCTTATGGGAAACCTGATGGGGAACCTGATGGGGAACCTGATGGGGAACCTGATGGGGAACCTGATGGGGAACCTGATGGGGAACCTGATGGCGAACCTGATGGCGAACCTGATGGCGAACCTGATGGCGAACCTGATGGGGAACCTGATGGGGAACCTGATGGGGAACCTGATGGGGAACCTGATGGGGAACCTGATGGCGAACCTGATGGGGAACCTGATGGCGAACCTGATGGCGAACCTGATGGGGAACCTGATGGGGAACCTGATGGGGAACCTGATGGGGAACCTGATGGGGAACCTGATGGGGAACCTGATGGCGAACCTGATGGCGAACCTGATGGCGAACCTGATGGCGAACCTGATGGCGAACCTGATGGGGAACCTGATGGGGAACCTGATGGGGAACCTGATGGGGAACCTGATGGGGAACCTGATGGGGAACCTGATGGGGAACCTGATGGGGAACCTGATGGGGAACCTGATGGGGAACCTGATGGGGAACCTGATGGCGAACCTGATGGCGAACCTGATGGCGAACCTGATGGCGAACCTGATGGGGAACCTGATGGGGAACCTGATGGGGAACCTGATGGGGAACCTGATGGGGAACCTGATGGGGAACCTGATGGGGAACCTGATGGGGAACCTGATGGGGAACCTGATGGCGAACCTGATGGCGAACCTGATGGGGGGGGGACCTGATGGGGAACCTGATGGGGAACCTGATGGGGAACCTGATGGGGAACCTGATGGCGAACCTGATGGCGAACCTGATGGCGAACCTGATGGCGAACCTGATGGCGAACCTGATGGGGAACCTGATGGCGAACCTGATGGCGAACCTGATGGCGAACCTGATGGGGAACCTGATGGGGAACCTGATGGGGAACCTGATGGGGAACCTGATGGGGAACCTGATGGGGAACCTGATGGCGAACCTGATGGGGAACCTGATGGCGAACCTGATGGCGAACCTGATGGCGAACCTGATGGGGAACCTGATGGGGAACCTGATGGGGAACCTGATGGGGAACCTGATGGGGAACCTGATGGCGAACCTGATGGCGAACCTGATGGGGGGGCGACCTGATGGGGAACCTGATGGGGAACCTGATGGGGAACCTGATGGGGAACCTGATGGGGAACCTGATGGGGAACCTGATGGCGAACCTGATGGCGAACCTGATGGCGAACCTGATGGCGAACCTGATGGGGAACCTGATGGGGAACCTGATGGCGAACCTGATGGGGAACCTGATGGCGAACCTGATGGCGAACCTGATGGCGAACCTGATGGCGAACCTGATGGCGAACCTGATGGCGAACCTGATGGGGAACCTGATGGGGAACCTGATGGCGAACCTGATGGGGAACCTGATGGCGAACCTGTTTGAGAACCTGATGGGGAACCTGATGGGGAACCTGATGGCGAACCTGATGGGGAACCTGATGGCGAACCTGATGGGGAACCTGATGGCGAACCTGATGGGGAACCTGATGGCGAACCTGATGGCGAACCTGATGGGGAACCTGATGGGGAACCTGATGGGGAACCTGATGGGGAACCTGATGGGGAACCTGATGGGGAACCTGATGGGGAACCTGATGGCGAACCTGATGGCGAACCTGATGGCGAACCTGATGGCGAACCTGATGGCGAACCTTATGGGAAACCTGATGGGGAACCTGATGGGGAACCTGATGGGGAACCTGATGGGGAACCTGATGGGGAACCTGATGGGGAACCTGATGGCGAACCTGATGGCGAACCTGATGGCGAACCTGATGGCGAACCTGATGGGGAACCTGATGGGGAACCTGATGGGGAACCTGATGGGGAACCTGATGGGGAACCTGATGGCGAACCTGATGGCGAACCTGATGGGGGGGGGACCTCTTCAGGAACCTGATGGGGAACCTGATGGGGAACCTGATGGGGAACCTGATGGCGAACCTGATGGCGAACCTGATGGCGAACCTGATGGGGAACCTGATGGGGAACCTGATGGGGAACCTGATGGCGAACCTGATGGCGAACCTGATGGGGAACCTGATGGCGAACCTGATGGCGAACCTGATGGCGAACCTGATGGCGAACCTGATGGCGAACCTGATGGGGAACCTGATGGCGAACCTGATGGAGAACCCGATGGAGAACCCGATGGAGAACCTGATGGCGAACCTGATGGCGAACCTGATGGCGAACCTGATGGCGAACCTGATGGGGAACCTGATGGGGAACCTGATGGGGAACCTGATGGGGAACCTGATGGGGAACCTGATGGGGAACCTGATGGCGAACCTGATGGCGAACCTGATGGCGAACCTGATGGCGAACCTGATGGCGAACCTGATGGCGAACCTGATGGCGAACCTGATGGCGAACCTGATGGCGAACCTGATGGCGAACCTGATGGCGAACCTGATGGCGAACCTGATGGCGAACCTGATGGCGAACCTGATGGGGAACCTGATGGGGAACCTGATGGGGAACCTGATGGCGAACCTGATGGCGAACCTGATGGCGAACCTGATGGCGAACCTGATGGGGAACCTGATGGGGAACCTGATGGCGAACCTGATGGCGAACCTGATGGCGAACCTGATGGCGAACCTGATGGCGAACCTGATGGCGAACCTGATGGCGAACCTGATGGCGAACCTGATGGCGAACCTGATGGGGAACCTGATGGGGAACCTGATGGCGAACCTGATGGCGAACCTGATGGCGAACCTGATGGCGAACCTGATGGCGAACCTGATGGCGAACCTGATGGCGAACCTGATGGCGAACCTGATGGCGAACCTGATGGCGAACCTGATGGCGAACCTGATGGCGAACCTGATGGCGAACCTGATGGCGAACCTGATGGCGAACCTGATGGCGAACCTGATGGCGAACCTGATGGGGAACCTGATGGCGAACCTGATGGGGAACCTGATGGGGAACCTGATGGCGAACCTGATGGCGAACCTGATGGCGAACCTGATGGGGAACCTGATGGCGAACCTGATGGGGAACCTGATGGCGAACCTGATGGCGAACCTGATGGCGAACCTGATGGGGGGGGACGAACCTGATGGCGAACCTGATGGCGAACCTGATGGCGAACCTGATGGGGAACCTGATGGGGAACCTGATGGGGAACCTGATGGGGAACCTGATGGCGAACCTGATGGCGAACCTGATGGCGAACCTGATGGGGAACCTGATGGGGAACCTGATGGGGAACCTGATGGCGAACCTGATGGCGAACCTGATGGCGAACCTGATGGGGAACCTGATGGCGAACCTGATGGGGAACCTGATGGCGAACCTGATGGCGAACCTGATGGCGAACCTGATGGGGGGGGCCGAACCTGATGGGGAACCTGATGGGGAACCTGATGGCGAACCTGATGGGGAACCTGATGGGGAACCTGATGGGGAACCTGATGGGGAACCTGATGGGGAACCTGATGGGGAACCTGATGGGGAACCTGATGGCGAACCTGATGGCGAACCTGATGGCGAACCTGATGGCGAACCTGATGGCGAACCTGATGGCGAACCTGATGGCGAACCTGATGGCGAACCTGATGGGGAACCTGATGGGGAACCTGATGGCGAACCTGATGGGGAACCTGCACGGGCCCCCTGGAAGCAAGGGCAACAGACATGCGGGGCGACACCCTACGACTCACTTCACGGCCCCCCTGCAAGCACCCCCTGGCACGTACCACGATCCGTCCGCTGCTCTCCCAGTTTTGCGCCACGCCTTCACTTGAGGCGTCCCTGTGCTGCCATTGCTCTCCGTTTAGCAGGCCACGAGGCACACACACGCACATGGGGCGAGAGAGACCCGCAGCAAGCAGGTGGCGAGTGCGTAGTTGACCCGCACCACGAGTCTTGCATCTGCGCGGCGACACCCTATGACAGTTCACGCCCCCCTTGCAAGCACCCCGTGGCACGCACCGTCTGCTGCTTTGACGCTCTGCCTCCTGCACCCGGCCAAGCCTTCGCCCTCTAAACCCTGATGCTGCCCATTTTTTCTCCGTTGGAGCTGCTGCTGCAGTTGTTGCTCTCGTTGCGTCCACCACGAGTTGCTGCAGAAAAGAGGAGAGGATAGGAAAGGAGAGTGAGAAGAGTGGCATGAAAAGTGGCAGCACATCAGCGAAGAGAATCACGGGAGAGAGTGAAGGGACCGGAGAGCAGCAGGACTACTTATGAGTCAACTCTGAAGTCAACTCAGAAGTCACTTTGGTTCAACTCAACTTCGTTTACCTTTGAGACGGAGAAGCCATGGGAGAGGGAGAAGAGCCCAGAGAGCAGCAGCAGGGCGGGCAGTGCGGCGAGCAGGGCGATGTGGATCTGATTTGCTCCAACTCCAACATGGCCATGTTGCAGGGGGTATGGAGGAGGAGGGAGGGGGAGGAGTGGGTAGCGGGGAGGTGAGAGGGAGGAGGGCAAGGGGGCGAGCAGGAAATAGAATACACATGAGGGTAATGGGTTCGGGGGGTGGAGGCGAGAGAAAGAAAAGGTATCAAAGCTGGAATGTGGAGGAGGGAAGAGGGGAGTGGGAAGGAGAGAGGGGAAGAATGGGAAGAAGGGCGAGGGTTAAAATACAGTTGCATGGTGATGGCAAGAGAATGGGGGCTTACGTTTCAATGTGCAGCTTCATCCTTTGCACCTGGAAAAGAGGGCAGAGAAGAGACAGGGGAGAGGGGGCAGAGGAGAGGTGGGGGTGAGCAGCAGATACATTCAGTGAACCTGGATTCATCACGCAGGGTGGTCAGAGTGCCAGAGAGTGGCAAACGAGCTCATGCAAACGCAGGTGTTGCATTGAAAGATCATGCGAGTGTTCGCTGAACATTCACCTGAATAAGCAGCGCTTCGGCTTGCCTCCCTGTGAGGAGGTGAGTGAGGGGGTTGGCCATGTCTTTCTCGTATTCGCACATCACCACTGCCATTAAATCTGACTCCGGTGGCACTGCTGCACCTGCACCCGTAGTGCCGCTGTTACTGCAGCTGGAGCTGCTGCTGCTGCTTTCAACAAATGTCAGCAGCATTCTGCAGGGCGGCATTCTGGATCCACCATCCAGGAAAGTAAACATCAACCATCCACCATCCACCCATCCACCCATCACCCACCTACCGAACTGAACGCCTACTTCTCCACCGCTCCCCATCATAAGAAGCAGCCCACCTGTCGAGGTCGTCACTACCATTCAGCCGGCTATGCCGCACCACCCAGCTCCCCACCTCCACGCCACACAGGCCCCTTGCCACCTGGATAGGGAACAGTGGGGGCAAGAGAGAGGGGTGAGTGAGAGGGGGTGTGATGGAGGAGAGGCGGCAATGCAAGTAATCTTGAGCGTCACCCACTCCAGACCAGAAGCACCTACCCGAGCAACCACCCCATCAGTTTCCACCCCATCAGTTTCCACCCCATCAGTTTCCACCCCATCAGTTTCCACCCCATCAGTTTCCACCCCATCAGTTTCCACCCCATCAGTTTCCACCCCATCAGTTTCCACCCCATCAGTTTCCACCCCATCAGTTTCCACCCCATCAGTTTCCCGGGATGAGAAGGCTGGAATGGAGTGAGGTGAGAAAATGGAGGCAGAACAGGCACATGGCATAGTGTGAGGTGAGGCGATGAAGTAAGGCAACCCCAATGCTTGCTTCGGGATTATTCTTACCTGCCCAGCTGGGGACTATTCTGTTCAGTGCTGTTTGCATAAAATAGATGTGCTGTTAGTTTACCCCTGCGCTGCTACAAAAGAACAACATATTCTTCCACATTTTGAACTTGAGTTGCAGCAGCAGCACATATATCAGGCGTGAATGTTTAATCTGCAAGATTTCTCAAACAAACAGTACATTAAAGCCCCTACTTCACTCCAAGGTCATATTTTTAAATTGGTTAGTACGCAAGAAAGTACTACCCCACTCCCTCCTTCCACAGTTTCTTATAAAAACAGTTTGCAGATACGAAACGACAAAATTTACTTTCCTTCATACCCCTTTCTACCCTTCTCACATGGCCTAATCTCATTTCTCTCTCTAATTTCCATCCTATGCTTCTGCTTCTCGCCATCCATCCACCCCTTTTGCCCCCTATAGTTCAATCCATGCCATACCCCCTTCCATATATGGTTGCAGATTCTCCATTTGAGATCAGAGGGCAGTCCTCTATAGTGCACTCCTGCAGCATTGGCATATTCTGGATGAAGGGTGGCAGTTGAGCCAGCTGCTCACAATGCTGCACTTCCAACCACTGTAGACGAGACAGGTCTTGAAAAGAGTCAGGGAGGCTGCACAGATTTGGAAGATCACACAGACGAAGAAACCGGAGAGAGAAAAGCTTTCCGAAATCGCGTGGAAGCGATGATGCTTGTAGGCAGTTGTCCAGCTCGCAATGTTGTAGACTGGGAAGACTGGATAAGGATTTTGGAAGGTCGGATAACTTTGGGCAATTACAGATGTCCAACTGCTGGAGCTTCTTCAACCGCCCAACCGACATGGGTAGCTGAAGCAAATCGGGTAGTGAATCCAGCAAGAGCCTCGTAAGCTTGAAAGGTCCACACACCGCTTCCGGCAGTGTTTCCAGCCACTCGGCATCAACAATAGACAGATTTCTCAAGTTTGACAACTGAGAGATGGAGGTAGGAAGTGCACGCAGTGCAGGCACACTTTCCAGCCTCAGCTATTCCAATGAAGAGATGCGCACCAGGGCTGGATCAAGTACTTCAGAAGCAACACCCGAAATGGTAAGGCTCTGCAGCGATGGGAGCACTACTTCCGCTTCAACCCTCTCCACATTGCTGCTGCTTCTGCTGCTGCTGCTGCTGCTGCTGCTGCTGCTGCTGCTGCTGCTGCTGCTGCTGCAATTGATTCTCCCCCCAACCAAGGTGTCCATAACACTCCTTCCGCCCAAGGACTTGCAGTGGCTCACATCCAGCTCCCGCAGTCGAGGCAGCTTCATCAGCGATTGAGGAACTGATTCCAAACCGTTCAAATCAATCAGGTTGAGCTTCTCCAGCATTTTCAGGTGCCCAATCTCCTCTGGCAAGGCTTTCAGCTCACTGCAGGATTCCACTGTCAGGCTGATGAGGGTGAGAGCTAATTGAGAAAGGGAGGCAGGGAGGGAAGTCAGATCTAAGATGCAGCTTAAGGAGAGAGCCTTAAGGTGTGAAAAGTTGCTGAAGCCCTCAGGAAGGCAGCCTCTCAAACACTGGAGATCACTCAGTATTATTATTTCGAGCAATGAAAAGCAGAAGAGCGACGCAGGGAGGTGGGTGATAGGTATCCGACATACAAACAGCTCACGAAGGTGGCATAGGCCATCCCCCATGCCCTCTAGTAGAACAGCTAAGCTTGAGCAGTTGTTGATCTCCAATTTCCGAAGGGAAGATAGCAGGGTAAACGAGCTGGGTAGCTGCCGCAGTTGCTCACAATTCTGAAGTCTCAGATCTTGCAGTTTGATCAAATGCCCGAAAGATTCGGGCAGGTGGCTGAGGTGTTTAAGTTCTGAGAGACGCAAAATTTCCAAAGCAGTCAGCCGCCCAAAGTCCTCGGGCAGGGACGAAATTCCTCGAAGACGATTGGCTATAGAGCTGACTAGCTTCATACTTTTGAGTTTTGACAGCCGACCAATGTCATCCGGCAGTTCTGACACACATGGCACGTGCAAGTTGAGCTCCGTGAGGGATGTAAGATTGGGCAAGGATCTGGGCAGCCATGAGGAACTTTCACGGCTCTCAATGGTAAGCAGTTGCAGCTGTGGGAGAAGTCCAACTGTCTCTGGAAGCGCCCTAATCCCTCTCACACGCCTCACGACTAGGCACTCCAATGCCAACAGCTTTCCGAAATCCTCAGGCAGTGGCAAGAGCTCCGCAAAATCGATCAGCTCAAGCATCTTCAGTCGCTTAAGCTTGGAGAGACCATCTGGTAGCCGAAATGTCCTGCAATGGCTGATAGACAGTTGCTGCAGATCGACAAGCTGCTGAATGGACGTGGGGAGAGAGCGGAGAGAGCGAACGCCAAGACTCAATGTCTTCAGCAACACAAGATTGCCAAAGTCTTGTGGCAAATCTTGTAGATTGGCCATGCTGAGTTTGAGGTCCTCAAGAAGCTGCAAAGACGTGATAGCGTCAGGAAGATGCGCAACTCCTTCGATAGTAAGAACGAGGCTCCTGAGTCGAGATTGGAGGCTGATGGAAGGTGGAATGCTAAGGATACGTGGAGGACAAGCGAGGCGCAGATCCTCTAGCTTGGTGCAACCCTCAAGGAGGTTCGAAAGTCCTTCCGTCGTGAAATCCTCGACGGCTTTAATGTGAAGCTGAACTAAATCGGGATGCGAGTGGGCCAGACCAGCGAGGACAACGTCCGGGACGAAGGACAAACAATCTTCGGAAACAACGAGTTTCTTCAGTCTAGGGAATGCCGCGAGCTGGTCAAGCAGATGGCGATGATTCAAGAAAGTGCCACTAGACACGTGAATGGCGTCCTGAACGAGATAGGCTATGTCACGCCATTTCGTGCACACCAGAGAATGCAGGAATTGGTCGGGTCTACCAGCTAGGTGCAGGATCTTGGCGAGCAAATCGTCAGATAGCCGTTGGATCGGAGACTCGTCAGACATTGTGACGGATCTAGGACTACTGGCACGCACGCCCTCTATGAGCTTGTTGTGAAAACTAAGTAGACCGAAGTGAAGTGAACTACAAGCTATTCTGCGAGCAATCTGTAAGAAGGGGGAAGGGAGTACTAACCGAAGAGGATGGCTGATTGACAGATGAAATCCACAGGCTAAAACGTGACGGAGGCTTGGAGTTGGATCCGTAAGCGACGCGAGGGAGCTCTTGGGTGATGGAATGGTTATGGAGTTCTATGGGTTATGGAGATCTATGAGGGGAAAAAAAAACATACAGGGGCCAAACAGTGCCAGGGAGGTGTACAAACAGGGGCCAAGAGGCCCAGAACTAACCAAACCACTGCGTAAAAAGGTATTTGCAGAGGATAATCATTTAGTGAACGTATGTCTGTTATCAACTCTCATTTTCGCTCGCGCGTCATTTTTCATGGAAATCGTGAATGATTCATGACCTTCCACCCAAAAGCGTCGTTTGGCAAGCCAGAAACTCTTAGGGCAGCAAAAAAAAACTAAAACCCCTAGGGAGGCTGGATGCATTTTCGTGATGGATCAACCCTAAAAACGGGAACCCTCGTTGTTTTTAGGGTTGATGCCTCCCTAGGCGCATCCATTTCTGAATGGGTAATATATTTTTTTTCAGCGCGTTTCCGATCAGGTAGTAATATGTATCACCCATAATGAAATAGGTTTTTTTGGACTCACAGATTATTACGGCAATGTTTACTTCCAGAAGAACGCGATGCGCGCGTAAGTAGTAGATGGAGGTCATAACCTTTTTCAAATAATCTGGACACAAAATTTGGTGCAAAAAGCATTACTCTTTCCGTCACGGTTCGGCTTGTTCGCCTAGCCTCTTGGGGAGCTCGGGGCTGAAATCCTACGGTCGAGATTTTCTGGCCCTACTCTGGTCATCCCTCTGGCACTCTTCGGCCCCAGTTTGATCATTTCCCATCTATGAGTTCTATCTGAAATGAGAGGGTAGGGAGGTCCTGCACGTGGCGGTGCATGGTTAGTCGAAAGGGGACGACAGCTCGTCCTGGGGCTCGCGAGCTGTGAACCATGGCATAGCGAACAAGCAAATGCCAAACGCTGGCGAATGCCAGTCAACTCGGGCGAAATGGATGACTCCATAGTGGGAAGAGCAACACTCAAAAGATGGGCGGTGAGCAGTGGAGGCTCGAGCCGTGTGATTCGAATCCCGAACGAATTAAACCCGACCGAAAATGCCTAACATGTTCTGGCTCGCTCTGGTTCCGAACCTCAAAAACAGCTTGGCGGAATGCTGGCCGTCAGATTGAGCTGGTCTGGAATGCCTGGCGTCGGACTTTGGTTTGAGTATCCAAAATGAGGGCGCGTCTCCTCCCTTGATCGATCGTGCGCAGGTTCAAACCTGCGCTCGGTTCAAAGAGATTTAAAATGTTAAAAAAATACAACGCATGAATTTAGTGCGGTGAAGGTTCGATCTTCGTCATTTTTGTACGATCGATCGAGGGAGGGGACGCGCCCTGAATTGCGAGAAAAGTGGTGTCATTTCTCTCCCTGCTACTTACTCCCTACATAGAATTTTCCAGAAATCCGCGCTGATCAAGAAGGACCCTATCCTCACAGTCTAGCACGGTAACATGGCAGGATGGTGCCACGTGGCAGCACCAAGTCCTCTAGTGCATATCTTCCCGTGGGCTGGAATAGCGGCCGGAGCTCTGTTCCTCGTGTATCGTCTTTGGCACGCGCCGTACGGCATGGTGCGGCTGCGCAAGGAGGAGCGCATCCCTTTAGGCATCCCATTGCTACCTCACGTAAGCATTCCGTTTCTGGCGTTAGCTTAAGGCCTTTTGTGCAATTCCGATTTTCGTAAGACATTCCGTTCCTTCCTGTTTCAACTGATCCATCTCCCTTCTGCCATTCGAAATAAAGCTGTCCGTTTCTGCCGTCAAAGCGAGAGGACATTGGAGGCGTGTTACTGTCAGAGGTCCACTGGGGATCCCCGATGATCCTAGGGAAGGGTTACAGGCATGTCGGCCTGGGGGGTTATGGGCGCACTCACCCGCTACTTAAACAAGCCCTTTTATCCCAGTGGTTAGTGGCTGGGATTCTGACATGGTATCAGAGCGAAGGTCTCGGGTTCGATTCCCGGTGTGTGCACCTCGGGCATCCCAGTGCGGGGGGGTGTCAGAGGTCCACTGGGGATCCCCGATGATCCTAGGGAAGGGTTACAGGCATGTCGGCCTGGGGGGTTATGGGCGCACTCACCCGCTACTTAAACAAGCCCTTTTATCCCAGTGGTTAGTGGCTGGGATTCTGACAGTTACTGCCACGTCGATGCATTGTAAGACGTTTCAGCCAGCCTCCTTTCCGCATTTTCCCTTTCTATTACCCTCTCCCCTCCTCCCATGCCCTCCAGGCCTTTCGTTGGTCAATCATTCGACCACTACCGCCTGCCTCCTCCTTCCCCACTTTCCCGCAACCAACCTCCCCCTCTCACCACCTCCTCCTCCGTCCCCCTGACTCATTGCCCTCGACCCACTCTGCCTGGCAGTTTTCCTTCCGAAGAAGGGGAAGCGCTCGGGTTCACTGTGGGGTTGACGCTGCAGATCTGTGTGATGGCGCATGCGCTTGTGAGGCAGGTATGTTGACGTGGCCATGTTCAAATGGGATGGGATGGGATGGGATGGGATGGGATGGGATGGGATGGGATGGGATGGGATGGGATGGGATGGGATGGGATGGGACGGGATGGGATGGGATGGGACGGGATGGGATGGGATGGGATGGGATGGGATGGAATTGATGTCATTGTATATGATGCATCCAGAACAGAAATAGGACGCTTGGCCCTTGCTGGCTGGGCAATAGGCCCAGACAAGCACAGCCACGTGACCTTGCGGAAGAAAAAAGCTCGGAACGAGCGCTTCCAGCTCCAGAACGTGGAAGGATCCGCACATGTGCAGGAAATGCAGCGGGCGCTCTTCATTCGCGAGCGCCGATGACCGATGATGCTCGCAATCCTCCCATGCCCTTTCTGGTATGGCAATAGAACTAGACAAGCACAGCCACATGACCCGGCGGAAAACAAACTCTCAGAACTAGCGCCTCCAGCACCAAAACGCGAAAGGGTCAGCACATATGCAGGAAGTGCAGGAGGCGCACTTCATTCGCGAGCGCCAATGACCGATGATGCTCGCAACCCTCCCACGCCCTTGCTGGCTTGGCAATAGGCCCAGACAAGCGCAGCCACGTGACCCAGCGGAAGAAAAACGCTCGGAACGAGCGCTTCCACCCCCAAAACGCGGAAGGATCTGCACATGTGCAGGAATTGCTGTTGGCGCTCTTCATTCGCGAGCGCCGATGTCCGATGATGCTCGTAATCCTCCCATGCCCTTGCAGGCTTGGTAATAGGCCTAAGTATGCTCAGCCACGTGACCCGCGGAAAAAAAATCGCTTGGAACGAGCACTTCCAGCCCCAAAACGCGGAAGGATCCGCACATGTGCAGGAAGTGCAGGAGGCGCTCTTCATTCGTGAGCGTCAATGACTAATGATGCTCGCAACCCTCCCACGCCCTTGCTAGCTTGGCAAGAGGCCTAGACAAGCGCAGCCACATGACCCGACGGAAGAAAAACGCTCGGAATGAGCGCTTCCAGCCCCAAAACGCGGAAGGATCCGCACATGTGTAGGAAGTGCAGCGGGCGCTCTTCATTCGCGAGCGCCAATGACCGATGATGCTCGCAACCCTCTCACGCCATTGCTGGCTTGGCAATAGAGCTAAAAAAGTGCAGCCACGTGACCGACAGAAGAAAAACGCTCGGAACTGTTAATGGAAGTGGAGTGTTGGCCCCGCCCTCGCTTGGGCAACGCTGACAACTTGGTCGGATGAACGAGAGTTGCAGCCGACTGTTCACAGTGGGAGAGCTGCTCGACAGGCTTCGTCGAGCTGCAGGGGACCGCTTTGGTGTTGTTGTCGACTAGGGAGCTTGACAGCTGCAACTGACTGATCTGGGTGACGGGTGGGCCGTCGACCATGAGGGGCAGTTCGACCGGGTGGTCTACGGAGCAGTCCGTCGACCTGCAGCTCGACCGGGAGGTCGACGGAGCTGTCGTCGACTTGACAAGTGTGCAGCGGTCGACGAGGGGATCTCGGCGACAACCGCTGACGGTTCTGGTCGACGGAAGGGGTCCGTCGACCAGGGGGTAGCTGTGGTCGACCAGGGGCACCTGGTGGTCGACCAGAGGGACCTGGTGGTCGACCGGAGGGACCTGATGGTCGACCAGAGGCAGTGGTGGTCGACCGGAAGCACCTGGTGGTGTCCAGGTCGACCGGGTAACCTGCTCGACGAGTTCTGCGGAGGCACGCGAACGTCGTCGAGATCGCGATGGCGAAGGCGACTTCGGGATGGTATTCCGAAGTCGATGTGGCTCGTCAGGCGCAGACAACAGCCGACGGATGCACAGCAATGCAAGTCGGGCCAATCGTCTGCGCGCACCTGCGAGCGTGCGCACTGCTGTCCTCTACGGTGCAACGCTGGACGGGCTCTGCTGCAGCGTTGGCACGCCGTCGACCTGCAGTGTTGGCAGGTCGCTCTTCTGCAGTGCTGGCGCGGCTCCTCTACGCAACGCTGGCAGGCGGTCGACCGAGCTGTGCTGGCGGTCGACCAGGCTAGCTGCAGAGTTGCTAGGTGCCTGATGTAGTCCTTCTTGTCATTGTGAATTGAATCATTCTGTAATTCCAACTTTGCTAGTGGAAACTCTTGCCAATCTCTCCCGTGAATGTGCAAGCACTAAGGAACCAAGCAAAGCTACGATCACTCCTAGTAGTTCGTGCCAACCCCCGTAGTCTACCTCCCTACCGTTGTAGAGTGAATCTCCGCATGGTGCGGTGAGCGTGGATCGAACACGCGACCTTCAGATAGGAGCCGACTTTTGCACCTACTAAGTCGTTCGTAGGCCGGCAGCAGCGTTAGTCGCCATGGTCGACCCCGTTGTAGAAGCGGGC